GCGGAGGCCCTGCTCAGAGGCCCTGGGCATTTTTCCGGACCCTTTGCTAGGTCATCAGACCATAGCCACGACTCAGCCCCTGGTTAAGTGCGGCATGTTGGGTCTGCCGCTCTCGCTGGTGACAGTCTTGTCTTCCCAGCAGGGTGCGTGGTGAGCCACTCGAGGCAGAGACTTCCAGATTAGTGGCTTGTAAGCTTTGTTGACCTGACCCCCTGTCCCCCCACCCCCCTGCCCCGGCTTGGACAGAGTGAGACTGCACACTGGTATAGCTCAGTATAGAAGTGAAGCCAATCGTCCTTACTATGTGGACTCCGTATTTTTTATTGTTTGATTTAAAAGAAAATGTTGCAGAGGCCCTTGGGTGGCTCAGTTTGGTTAAGTGTCCGACTCCTGATTTTAGCTCAGGTCATGATCTCACAGTTCGTGAGTTCGAGCCCCGCGTCAGGCTCTGCGCTGATCGCACAGAGCTTGCTTGGGGCTCTCAAAATAAATTTTAAAAAAGAAGAGAAAAAATCGTGTTACCATGACCACTTCAACTGATTTGTCACTAGAACTTTAAAGAACTCTGTTCTCATCTCCCTCTGGGGCTGTGCAGGGCGTCGGACTCAGGCAGTCGCTAGAACCGGTGATTTATACGGAGTAGCCTGCAGGCTCATCAAAATTTGAGCCCATAAGGGTCCCAAGAGGAGAAGAAACTTTGTAATGATAGATTGGCCTGAGGCCGGGCCTGGCCCAAAGAAAGGGCTCACGCTTTAGTCACTGAACTTGCCTCATCTCCCCTCCTCTTAGGAGCCTTCCTGCCTGATGCCTTTTCATAGACAAGGAAGCAGGCTGAGCGAGGGGCCAGGGGACTCGGCTCAGGTCAGAGCCAGGCTTCAAACTCCCTCTTTTTGCTTCCAGAGACCTAACTCTTGCCCCATCACATGCAGACCCTAACGGCGACCGTTCATGGCTGAAAGTCGTTTTCCCAGTAACCTTTTATTCACTGCCCTCCCCGCCCCCACACCCCCCTAAAGGCTCTTAAGAGTGAATAGTCCTCTTTTTTTTCCCTAAACAATGATTTTATTACTTGAATGCGTAGACAAATTTATGCAATGAGGACAGAGGCTGTGAGTGACTCGTATTTCGAACTGGGCGGGGGGAGGGCTTGCTGGGTCTTATGATCATCAAGTAAATACGGCTCTTGGTCAGAACGAGTAGGAAGTTAGCATCTGTACCCTTTCTGTTCCTCTCAGACGCCTTCAGACAGGAGCTTTCTTAATTAAATGGTAGATATTCTCAGGTAGATCCGGAGCGAGTCCTTTGGGCTTCAGGGTTCTCTGAATGTTACTGCCTGTCACAGGCTGTGCCTGGACAACGCCTTGTCTCTTGGGGTCACACCGATTTGTGAGGGAGCCAGGCCCTTCTTGGCCTGTGTGCACATCTGCTCCCTCACATCCTCGTACATCAGCCTCAGCCAGATGGGGGCGCTGGGCCCTGAGGCGCCCTTGGGGACAGGCCCTTCTCGGGAAGTGCATGTGACCCTTGCTGGTGGCGGTGGCTGTCAGGCAGCGAAAATGAGCTTGCTGTAGGCACCTCCGTGTGAACTTCTGGAAGAACTGGGTGTGGAGCGTGACCTGTAAACCGTTTCTGACGCCATTTACATCGTTCTAGAAAGGCTTTCCCTGGGATTTCAAGTATGGGCAGGACAGGCCTCCTCTTTTTTTTTTTTTTTTTTTAAATCCTGCAGTGCTCTATGTGATTAAAACAGAAAAGTATTTGCCCTACATCTGCCCTTAATTCAGTATTACAGGTTTTAGGCTGGATGTGAACGATTAAATTACTTCTGCATCATGTCCGCGAGCAGCTCACATGAGTTTCAGAGAGTGGTGGCCTGTGTGGCTGCAGGGCCAGAGGCTTGACCTCTGACCCCAGCTCCTCCACACCAGCCGGGCCAGTCATTGGCATCTGTGGGCCTCCACCTTCCCTTCTGTGGCATGGGCACAAGAGGCGGCTCCTCAGAGGGCTGGCGTGAAGGCAACGTTCTGCTCACTTGTGTGTGTAAAGTCCTCACAAAGGCTTGGCTTGTTAACGTCTTTCCGCTTGTTTTTGTTTTTGTTTTTTTAAATTTTTTTAATGTTTTATTTCTGAGAGAGCATGAGCAAGGGAGGGTCAGAGAGAGAGAGAGAGACACAGAATCCGAAACAGCCTCCAGGCTCTGAGCTGGCTGGCAGCACAGAGCCCGATGTGGGGCTTGAACCCACGAACCGAGAGATCATGACCTGAGCCGAAGTCGGATACTTAACCGACGGAGCCCCCCAGGCGCCCCAGTTTTGGTTGTTGTAATAGAGCTGACTGAGTAATAGAGTAATACACTAATAGAGTAATAGTGTAATAGAGTGTTGACTGAGGAGATCTGATGTGTTTTTATTATGAATCAAGGCATTTAGTTACTTCCACTGCTTTTTGTATCTGTGTGGTTTGTAGACTTTTTAGGGCTCCTTGATTGCTTGGCCCTAGAGAAGTGTGTGTGTGTGTGTGTGTGTGTGTGTGTGTGTGTGTGTTTGCATTACACAACTGTTTCAGGTATAAAGGTAGCAGCATTCAGCAACCAGGGCTGCCCTTTAACGAGCACTTTCTCTGCACCAAGCCACTCCTTGTTCCTCACACAGCTCCCTCTGGTCAATATGTTCCCCTTTCTGCACATGGGGACACAAAGCTCAGGGATTCTGAGTTTTGCCTGAAGCCACAGCTGGTGTTGGTGGTGAATTTGCTCCCCCGCATGTCTGCCCAGGGGCCACACTTAGCCCAACTAGCCTTATCCCTCTAAAACCACACAACCTGTGTGAGTACAATCACAAAGAGATTGGGCTAGCGCGGAGTGGCCAGCCCCAGCCCCTGGCTGTTTGGGGGTGAGTCACCCCACCTTGAACCCCAGCTACGCTATCTATAAACTGGGGTGAGCCTTGCCATAGAGCTTGTTACCCAGATAAAGTGGCACAGTGTGTGTAAAGCACACCAAAGCAAATGGAAAATGGGTGTCCACATTTCTGGGACATTTAACTTGAGGCTTGTCACGTTGGGCCACCATGGTCAGCAGATAGCTAGGACCTTACAGGACGTTTGTCACTAGTGCTTGTGAAAACGCAGCATGTTTCAGAATCTTTCTTAACACACAGCTTTTGGTAGATTGTCTGTGAAAATCAAGAGTTGGACATGCAGGTGTTATATGTGAGGCTCCCAGGGGCTGATGCCATGTTAAATCACCACCGAGTGCCTGAAACAGCGTGTGATCAGGGGTCGAATTGATGAAAAAGTGTGTCTGGTTTTTTTTCAGGGGAGGCAGAAGTCATGTTAGTGTTTCAATGGAACTTTAAGCTAGAGTAGACCCTGATGGCCTCTAATCTCATATGTCCACATGTGCAGAACGGCCCCGCCCCCCTGCCTCCTGCACGCCCTTCTCACAGCCTATGCATTTTGAGGACATAAGTTTTCCTTTCCTCTTTTTAGAAGCCTCTATGGGCTTTTCTGGCCAAGAGAAGAATTGCTCGCCAACTAATTTTACCAGTTAACACCCTCCTCGGCAGCTGTTAGGAAAATTCGTTTAGCAATTAATTGCTTTCCACTTGGGATTCTGCTTCTGTGATCTGGAATGGGTTATTGAGTCTTAGGTGAACTATTCATTTGTCCTGTCTTACCAATCAGACCATCTTCCCTTAAGCAGGGGTCCCGGGAGCTTCGTCTGTAAAAGCCAGTAAGAAAGTATTGGTTCTTTTTTTCTCGGTTTTTATTGTTCTGTTTTGCAGAGAGGGCTGAGGGTGCATGCACATGCACACACACATACACGCAGTATTTCAGAAGCTGGACTCCTTGGTGCCAACTTGCTTGACTCTCCTGAGCTCTCCGGTTTGGGCATTTGGAATGCGGGTCACCAGGTGTGACTGGGCTTCTTTGGCTGCAGCCCATGGGACAGATGAGCTAAGCAGGGGTCGAGAGGCTGCCCGTGGCACAGATATTTATGTAACAACTTGCAAAGGTGGCCTCGTACAAAGATGTTAAAGAACTTTGTTATGTTCCTGCTTCTAAGAAAACGAAGCAGCCTTCGCAATAACACGGACGGACCCAGAGTGTTAGGCTAAGTGAAATGAATCAGCCGGGGGGAGACGGACACCATATGATTTCACTCGTGTGGAATGTAAAGAGCAAAACAAATGGATAAACAAAAAGCAGAAACAGATACGTGAATACCAAGGACACACTGGCGGTGGCCAGAGGGGAGGGGGTGGGGGTGAGGGAGTGGGTGAAGGGCAGACGGAGACACGGGCTTCATGATGTGGAGTGAGGAGGGCATGGGGACTGCGGTCAGTGGTCCTGGAAGAACGCAGGCGGGGTTGGGTCGCACAGCTGCGCTGGAGCAGAGCGCCCCATATCACGGAGTGTATTTAGTACGTACGCCTTAAACTACCATAACATCGTGTCAACCGTGTTTCAGTTAAAAAACATCTATATAAAGTATATGTCATCTGCAAAACATTTTTAACCTCTTGCATTTCAGAAACTATTTAAAGCTCACAATACATAAAGTGCCATGAGATGAAAGGACATGGGTTTGAGGTTTGGGTTGGGGGTGGGTGTGTGAGATGAGGCCAGGTCAGCTGAGTGCTAGGACCCGCTGTCGCTCTGGCCCTGAGCTCCCCAGCGGCCAGGGCAATAATCAGCAAGCCAGAAGACACACCCCTTACCCAGGGGAAGCGGAGGACACCCGGGCCCTTGTGCAGGGACTGCTGCGATGGTGGTCCTTAGGGTCTCCCCCACAAGTGGGGGGGGGTGGGGGGGTACGGTTCTCACTGCAGGGCCCCTTTCCTTGACAGCTTTTCCTTCTGAAAAGGAAGTAGTTTGAATGTGTTATCCTCCAAATGACTTAAAAGACTTGCTTACAAAACAGCTTTCTTGCCTTCAGAGGGGCTTCATAAAACCAGAAGTGGCCAGGCCCACAGTTATCCCTCATTTCTCTGTCCCAGGAATATGAAGACAAGGCTGGACGACCTAGCAAGCCGCCCTCTCCAAAGCAGAATGTGAGGAAGAATCTTGATTTCGAGCCACTTTCCACCACCGCACTCATCCTGGAAGACAGACCAGCGTGAGTCTTTTTTTTTTTCTTTAATGTACTTATTTTTGAGTGACAGAGACAGAGTATGCATGGGGGAGGGGCAGAGAGCGAGGGAAACACAGAATCGGAAGTAGGCTCCAGGCTCTGAGCTGTCAGCACAGAGCCCAATGCAGGGCTCGACCTCACGAACCACGAGATTGTGACCTGAGCTGAAGTTAGATGCTTAACCGGCTGAGCCCCCCAGGCGCCCCGAGACCAGCGTGAGTCTTAATAGGAGCTCTAGAATGTTTGTTCTAGTAGGTAAGTACAACTTACATTCAAGAAGAGCTGGGGGCACCAGAGGGGAGAAGAATAAGCCATACCTTGCATTAAAAATGCTCATTTCCTCTTTATTCCCTACGTTGACATGTATTCTCTAATAATAATAAGGAAGTGATTTGGAAGACCGTCCTTTAACACAGAAGTTTTGACTCTGGGTTTTCCATTCAGGTGGCTTTTCAGTTTAATTCAGGACTTAGAAATAGGTAAGGAGCTGTTGTAAATTCAGACTGGCCTCGGACTGCAAGAAGCCCTGGGATGTGTAAGTCGTGCAGAGGCCGGGTTATGGGGGCAGCCGCTCCTGTGGACACGTGCGGGACCCACCCCAGGTTCTACAGGGTCTGCGGCGCCTGGGCTGTGCCGCCCCACCAGGGCCTCTCTGGGCCTCTCACGCCCCTGCACGGCTGAGATTGGTTTTGATGACTGGCTTATAGACCATGCTTGGAGACCTTAGGGACATAAAGGGACTGCCCCGTTGTACCTGGCCACAGACGGCCTCGCTTCGGTATCGAGCTTCCACAGAACCCTGTGTTCGAATAGAAAGATCCCTCAGCTTTGAAAAGAGGGAGAAAGAGAGATTGGAGGAGTCTAAGTGGTGATTGTAGATTGCGAGTGGTCCCTTAGGTCCCCACCCATTCGGGAAATTTAAAACTGATCAAATCTAAAGAAGAAATCCCGCTTCCGATGTTAACTCGTGGTCCTTGGAGCTGGGACGTGGGTGGCGGATGGGGAGAGGAGCCCTGACGCGTGGGATTAGGAAGGTGGATAGAGACCTGGAAAGAGCCACTGAGGACCGTGCAGGGGGCGCTCCCAGGACTGTGGCCTGCGGGAGATGGCACCCTGAGCGTCGCTCATTCCGAATATGCCCGAATGAGGGCCGCACCGGCCAGTCCTCGCCGCCTCCCGCTTGCCAAAGGCCGGCAGATTTACCCGCACATTCTGAAGGAGACTATGCATTTTAGCGTTTCTACTCAGGAGTCAAAGTTGGACACCCGGTATGAGTGCTCAGAACCGCGGTGCACATTTGCGGATAAAAGAAACCAAACAGATGAGCCAGTAGCGGATACGAGCGAAACTTGTGCACCTGAGAAACTGGCCCAGGAACGTACACGTACACGTACGCGTGTGTGACACTTGCCCCGAGGGCCCCGTGCTTCACGGTGACCGTGACGGGCAGCTCACAGTTGCTTTGGAGACCGGGGTGAAAAATGCTTTAAGATTAAGTGTTTATTGGAACTGTGGGCAATTATTCTTCTCTTTCTACTAGTCTTCGAACTTCAGGTTGTTTACAGTGAGCTTATTTTCCGTCTGTAAGTCAGTGCGTTTAGTTTAGGAAACTGCTGTGTATTTGTCGTCATAACAAATGTAGTTTTTTGGGCTTCAAGTTTGTTATTCTTTTAGTAAGTAATTCTTCGAGTTTTGTGTTTCAAAGACTTTGATTTGATATTTAAAATGGTGGAAACTATTTATTTTTCTATCAAGAAATCTCCCCGCGAAGCCAGCCGAGGAAGCCCAGAAACACAGGCAGCAGTATGAAGAAATGGTGGTCCAAGCCAAAAAACGAGGTAATGGAATTCATGCGTGTTGGCTGTGTAAGACAGCACGAGATTTTGTGTCTCTCTGGAGATTTTCTCTTTACCTTCTGGAGCCCTAGATCCTGAACCTTGGTGAATGTCTTAATATTTTTCAAATTTATCACTTTCCATCAGAAGGATATGTTTCTAACTGACCCTTCCCGTTCCTGGTAGCTTTATTTGAATTTGCACAAGAAAAGAGACCACGTAGGATAAAAGCGCAGGTTTGGAGAAAGCCTCAGCCAGTGGTGATGGGCAGGCTCCCTCCCCTCCCTGGGCTCTGTTTTCTTGATCTGCAGGAAGATTCGATCAGATTTGATAAAATCACTTGCAGCACTTAAAATCCCTAAGAGCCCAGCATGTGTGAAAAGTCTGTGTGATAAACAAAGCGTGGCCCATCCCTACACTGGGGCATTAGTTCAGCCGTAGAAGGAAGGAAATTCTGACATGTGCTGCCACAGGGGCCAAGCTGGGGGGTGTCACGCTCAGTGCAGTAGGCTGCTCCCCTAATGGACAAGTAGATGGAGAGTAGAAGGAGGAGGCGAGGGAGGAGGGGATGGGGCTCCATGTTTAACGGGTGTGGAGTGTCATTTTGGAGAGGGGGAGAGTTCTGGCGATGGAGTGTGGTGATGGCCGCGTAGCAGTGTGAACGTGCTTCCTGCCACGGATCGTACACCTGAAGCGGCCATGACGCCGAGTTTTGTTTTGGGTATTTCACCACCGTAAAAGAAATACAAAACAATATGTACAAGATGCAGGGTGTTTCTCGGGGTGGCTGCTTGCCGCCTAGGGGAGAGGTGAGGCTGGAGCTGGAGCTTCTGCTGAGCAGGGCAGGGGGCGGGGGGCTCCCGGTGTCAGGTGAGGGTCCCGGCTTCGGCCGGGGTGGTGGGTTTCACGGGCTGGTCTCTCGTGATCGCTGAACCGTGTTGTCGCGGGAGCCCTGCTCCGGACGTGAGCTCCGCCGGGGGAGCTCACCGAGAGGGGTGACACCTGAGCTTCCAAGACTCTGCGAGGCCTGAAACGGGTTGGAGAGGGGGGCCCAGGGTGGCTTCGCCGCGTGGCTCCGGGGCCGGCCACGTGGCGTGAGCGCGGCGGGTAACAGGCGCTCTGTTCCCGCTCCCGGTCGCCCGGCAGAGCTGAAGGAGGCGCAGCGGAGGCGGCGGCAGCTGGCGGAGCGGTGCCGCCTGGAGGAGAGCATCGGGAGCGCCGTCCTCACCTGGAACAACGAGGTGTTGCCCAACTGGGAGACCATGTAAGCCGCGCGGGGCAGGCGCTGCCAGCCATGTCTCCCTGACCCCCGTAGCTAGCGCTGCTGCTCGCTGCCGCTCCCGTCCCAGCCCTCCGTGACTTTACCTGACAGTTTGTGTGGCCTGAACCCCCCGCCCCCCGCCTCCCGCCTCGCCTCGGTTCCACCCTGTCCTTCCTTCCTGGACCCTGTGACGGCCCCCATCTCACCCCTGGGTTGTCCTGTGCTCAGTAGCCCAGCTCTGTGTCCCTCCCTGTGGAGAGCGCCCTGGACTTCCTGCTTCTCCGCGCACAGTGTGAATTCCTCTGTGGACGGCCCGCTCCTTCTTCTGTACGTTCACCTTCCAGCTTGCATTCCTTGACCAGCCCTTTCCATAGGGAGCTGCAGGGCCTTTGCATGTTCCGTGCTCTTGCCCTATAGCTCCTCGTCCAGCTAACTCTTTGTTTATTAAAGCTCAGACTTCCCTGGGGAGAACTTTCCTGCCCAGGAGATTTGTAGAAGGCCCCTGGGTCCGCTGCATCCCTGTGTGCAAGTGTCTGTCCTCTGTCTGAGGCTGGGGACCGGGCCTTCTCTGACAACACCCCCCAGTGGCCAGCACCCAGCAGAATCTGGGGGCCGCAGTCATCTAAACAGCAGAGGGACAGCTGTAGGTCTTTTCCTCCTGTGGCTTCAGAGTGGAGAGGGGCAGGGTGCGGCCAGCAGTGCCAGAGCCATGCATGGAGGTGGGTGCCTCCTTTTGGGTCTCGGCCCATCAGCTGGGGTGCCGGGGAGCTTGGATGCCAGCCTCCCTTCGGCTCTTGTCCCTCCCCACTGACCCGTGTGGCAGGATGTTCGGGACTTGCTCCTGGCACTTGCCCAGGTGTTTCTCGCTCTCGTCTTGGGGGTGGGATGGCCCTGGTGAGCTTCTCTGCTAGGAAAATGAGTTGTTCCCACAGCCTGCTCTTCTGGGCGGTGTCTTTAATAGGCTGGATGTGGCTTTTTCTCAGGTGGGACCCAGTAACAAGAGTCCAGGTGCTCAGAACCGCCCTCCGCATCCATCGTGCACTTTCTGATGCTTGACGCCATCTGGATGCATGTGTTTGTACAACAGCCGCCATTCAGTGCCCCAGCGGGGCGCCGCTGTGCCTGTGCCCCTTCGTCTTCAGTGCAGCTCCCGGAGGGGAGGGTTTTGTCATCTGGCTGTTGGCGAGGATGTTACGGGGCCGGGGAGGAGGGCTGATCTCCGGGCTTCGCAGGTGGGGCTCTGGGGCCACAGGCCCGGTGTGTGCAGTGCTGGGAGGCGCCGGGGAGTCTGTGGCACCTTTACATTGTCCAGTGTGTGGCCAGCAGGTCTCATCACCTTTGTGCAGTTCCAAACGTCCTGAGTTAGCGGCGTCCCCTGGGCCACTGGAGTCTGGCAGCCCCTTCCCTGAGCGGCCCGTGTGTGGTAGCGCACCTCTCGGGACGCCCTGCCCTGCGGCTCTGCGGCCGTGCCTCCCAGCGCCCCCGGCCGTGCCCCGCTGTCTGTGGTTCCCGCGGCAGGCCAGGCTTTCCTGTCGCTGTGCCTTCCGCTCAGAAAGCCCTTCCCGTCCTTTAGCTGCTCCAGCCGCTGCTGGTCACTTGGGGATCTGCTCCAGAACAGCGCCCCTGGCCCCCGGAGCTGCAGCGCGGGGCCCTTGGCACACGTGTCACGGCCATTGCCCAGTGGCAGCTAGTTGCTGATCTCCCGGCCTCGGGAACACCGGCTGCGGGCTCCCTGAGGGCAGGGCTCTGCCACGTGACCGCGTGTCCCCTGCTCCCGTGGCCTGGGGCTAGGCACGCAGGCAGACAGAGCTCCTGGCTGAGAACTAACTCCCGACTCCGTGCTCCCACTGTTGTCCAGGTGGTGCTCCAGGAAAGTCCGGGATCTGTGGTGGCAGGGGATCCCTCCCAGCGTGAGAGGCAAGGTCTGGAGCCTAGCCATCGGCAACGAGTTAAACATCACCCACGGTGAGTAGCTCGCGCGTCCGGCTCGGAGAGTCCCGTGTAGTCCTGCCGCCCTCCACCACCCGTCTCTGGCCCCTCCCGTCCCCTTTGCCCTTAGGAGGAAAGGCAGCCGTGGCCACTAAGTCGTGTCTCAGGAGAGGCCAGCGACTGTGTCTTCTTGGGGGAGAGGCCGTTGGGAGGCCGGGGCCCCTGCTAGCAGCTGCGGTCACCGGGCGCTTCAGAGCAGACAGCTGCCCTCTTCCCGATTCCTGTCCCCGTCCCCGAATGGACTGGGTGTCAGAGCCTCGGCGGGCTGGGGTGGGTCAGAGTCCTGAGGAGAGTGAGTCTTGATGGGCCCATGACAGGGCTTCTGTGGAGCATCCTGTTCTGGGGCCGCCGGACTTTTGCAGCGTTTAGTTCCAGGCCCCTTTGAGTCCGGAGGGGACGTGGAGATGCGTCCTCCCCTCTCTTCGGGCGGTTTGTCCCGCTGGGTGCCCTGTGCGTGCACCGGCCCTCGTCCTCCCCCAGCCGCGCCCAGCGGGCTCCCTTCCGCTCCGAGCCCCGCGCCCTGCGAGGCTGCGCGCCCGGTGGGACGGGGCGCCAGGGGCTCAGGGGCTTACGGTTCCGTGCTTGATAAACAGTGGTCGCTGCTTCTCCCTTTTCTCCCTGGCTGCGGTCCCAGCTGCTGAGACGGATGTCAGAGTTGAAGACAGATTGATGTGGATCTTCTCAGTGTAGCCAGGGCTCATGTTAGTTGTTTGTTATCTTACAGGGTTTTCATCTCCATGATCGTGTCCTTGACCAGGCGGTGGAGGTTACTAGTTTCTGTTTATAGGGATGCCTCAAGGCCCCGTTTTGGCTAACCCACACCAACCAAAACTCTACCTTCTTTACATGAGAAGATCATATGTGACATTTAACCTGTAGGAATAGTTCGTTAAAAGCTTCCCCAGGGGTAGAGGCTTGGAGAAATTGCTGAGTAATTATCCCGGTCTTTATTCTGGAAAATTTTCCAAACTCTGTCAACGGCTGATTGTAGTGCAAAGTACTGTGTGCGTGTCTGGTTCTCACTCATGCCCGGGTTGACTTTACTTGAATTAGAATCTTCTGTGGGCCGGATCACACTAGATTAGGCTAAACAGCTAATTCACTGGTTACGTACCGTTAAAGTTTATCTAAATGCTAATACTGGCTCACTTTACTTGAATTGCATCTTTCTTGTATGATGAGCTGCCTCGTGTCAGCGGCCCCCACCAGAGCTGGTGCTCAGGAAGCTGGGGTCCCGCCTGTCATGCTCTCTGCTCTCACCGGTGCCCAGCGCAGAGCTCTGCACACAGCAGGTGCCGTGAATGAATGGATGCCACCTTACCTTGATCTTAGTTTTACTGAACATTTAAGTCAGAGTAAGAACACAGATCATCGTGAATTCCAGGTGTCCAGCCATCCTGAAAAGGGTAGGGACTGTGCCCCAGACGCTGGCGTGCGGTGGAGACAGTCTCTGCCTGACTCCAAAGCCGGCGTTCCACTTTGGGAAGCCCTGGGGTTCTTCTCTCACTGGTCGTGGGTGTGAGATCGGAAACTTCCCGGAAGTCCGTGTAATACTGGTTAGTGTTGGGGAAGTAATGCGCTCCTGGGGAGTCAGCCTTGTGCTTTGAAATTGGATTTGGGAAGGTGTGTTTCCTGTCCCCCTCATGCCTGCAGACACGGGAGGAAAGCCACAGATGTTTCTTAAAACTCAGACCCTTTGACCCCTTCTCCCGTGAGGCCGCTGGCGTCCGTGCTTTAACGGTCACGGACTGCTTGGGAAGAGGTTCCCTGTGCTCAGGGCCACGCGGTGGTTTTCTTCTAACTTCCGCCACCATGATCGAAGCTAGGCCCACCTCCCGGAGAGTGAGAGCAGGCCTCCTGTGTCGTCATGATAGCGTGAAGCGACACTTCATAGTCATACCTCTCCTGCCCCGGCCACTAGCGTGCTGGGGGTCACATCTTTGACAAGGCTCGAGATGGGTCACTAATCAAGATTTCACCTGATGGGGTGCAGTACAGCTAATTGGAACTCGGCTTGTATTTTCATAAAATCGCGTGTGCTGTCGGAGGCGCTCTGCCTTAGCCTCTGCAGGCAGCCGTGGCGGGGTGGACCTTCTCCGGGTAGCTGCAGGCGAAGTCTTGGTGACCCATTGGTGCCGGGCCACCCCGGGACTGGGTGGTTTGGAGCCTGCCTTCTGGGGACTCCTGTGGCGCCCGCCTGCAGGAGTCCATAGGTTTTGAAGCCTCTCCCCGTTTTGCTTGCCCTGAACCCGCTTCAGGCAGCCAGGTTAGGGAGGTGTGGCCGTGGGGAGGCGGGGCCGTGGGAGGGCAGGGTCTTGCGGGGGGCAAGGTCGTCTCCTCCTTGTCAAACCCAGAGGGGTTTCTGCTGGTCTCCACCTCCCTCCGGTGGTCGGATACCCATTGACCGTACTGGTCTGTGTCAGTCCCAGTGCCGTTTGCTCTGGACGCATAATGAGCGGAAGACCTTGGTGTGCCCCCTCCCCCCCCCTCCCCACCAGGGAGCTCAGTCTGCTAGCGGCACAAGTCGGAACGAAAGCATTTGTACGGGTGGGTCGTGTAATTGAAGTTGACGCCAGGCACAGTGGTATCACGTGCATTCTCTTAGTGCCTGGTGGTGTCGTCGGCCACGTTGGGGGGAAGTGTTGACATGGCCAGAATAAGGGTGCAGTGTGTGGTTGACCCGTGGGGCAGCAGCGTCCTCTCGGTGCCTGTGAGGAGATGCGCTCCCATGTGCACGTGATACTTACCCAGAGCCTCTCTTCCAGAGCTCTTCGACATCTGCCTTGCCCGAGCCAAGGAGAGGTGGCGATCCTTCAGCACGGGAGGCTCCGAGGCAGAGAACGAAGGTACACATAGTGCAAGTCCGGCGGGCTGCCTCGGTCACTTCCGTGTGTCTGTACTTGTGACGTGACCGACACGGTTTACTTAATCGACCCGGTGGTTGGTGCAAACGCATCAAAAGGCTTCACGGGAAAGGGGATTTTTTTTTTCTAGAGCAGACAAGTTGAGGAGAAAACGTTTCTAAGAAAGCGTTGGCCAGTTCCTGAGGGTGTGTGTCCAGGTGTGCAAGAAGGCCGGTCCTAACTGGGGGGTGTCCTCTACTCACTGTTGCCATGATTTCCCGCAGCCCAGCCCCTGTGCGGGAGCGTGGGAAGCACCCCAGGAGATGGAGCACTGCGTATTTGCTAGATGATGCTTCTAGAATTTCCCGTGATGCCCAAGGATTCCATTGGTTAACTAATATTTTCTTAGGACCTTTTTATATGTGGTATTGGAATTCAAAAAATACGACCTAAGTCATTCCTAAATATCCGTTAGAAATAAAACACAGGAGCCCCCCTTGGAGTCACTGCAGCACGGGCCAAGTTCACACCAGCGCGTTTTAGATCATGCGTTGTTTCCCATGCCTGGAATCCATTTGTGAACCAGCCCTCCCTCGTCCCTGCCACTTGTCGATGTCAGGGAACACCAAATTAGGCTTTGATTTCGGGCCCCAGGAGACACCCTCCGATGATCTGGCACCAGACGGTGCTGTGGGCGGTGCTCTTCAGCAAGACCCCCTCACCTGCTGGAAGCCCGAGGCGGAGCGTGTGCGCTCACGCGCACTGGGGCCCCCGGACCCGTGCGAACGGCTTCCGCCTTTGATCCTTGTGAAACTTCCGAGCCCCGTGATTCTCGCACTCGCTCGCCTCTGAGAGGTGTCATGACTCTTGCTCTTTTGCTAGATGCCGGTTTTTCAGCAGCGGACAGAGAAGCCAGTTTGGAGCTTATTAAACTGGACATATCTAGAACGTTTCCTAACCTCTGCATTTTCCAGCAAGTAGGTGGCGGTAATTTGTTGCTTTGAGTATGTTTTGTCTCAATGTCAGATACCAAACTGCACATATTTGTAATCAGGTTTGAAAAGTACTGGAGGGTTTTGGGGGGGAGTCGGGGGAGGGCAGTGTCAGGTCAGTATGTTTACACTTGTGCAGGCAGAGGTAACGGATCCTTGCCAACAGACCTGCAGCGAGGCTGTGTTTCCGCTTTTAAAGGCCGCTCTGGCCCCCTTTGAAGACGTATTTACCAAAGCCTTGGAGGCCAGGACAGGACGGGCGATCCTTCAGTTCCGGGGCTGCGCTCAGGAGGCGGGAGGGGGGAAGGGGTGCCGAAGTCCCGGGTAGCACGGGTCGTAGTGACGGGGGAGCTTCTGCGCAGATGGCCCAGGAGAGTGGTGGCCCCGCCAGGGGAGACGGGAGTATTCGCTTTCGGAGGGCAGTAAGGAGAAAAGTGGGGCTTTCCCGTGGGCTTCCGGGTTCGCACGGGCGGGGCGCAGGGCTGCCAGCAGCAGATTTGGGTCATTGGAGCAGAGGTGTGTGAAGACCCCTTCTTCTGACAGCAGACATTGCCTGGGGGGAGGGGTCTAGTTTGACACCCCCCCCTCCAGTGCCCCGTCTATTACGGTTTTTGCCAGTTCTGCTTCTGAACTACCCTTGAGTCTGTCCTTTCTGTGTCCCCGCTGCCCTTACTCAGTGCAGGTTCCCGTCCTTCGTGGGTCGCGGCACCAGCCTCCGCACGTGTCCCCGGCCTCCTCCACGCACTCACCCTGGTGCCTGCGAAGCAGCCTTGGGTCCTCGATCCCATTCTGTCAGGCCCGTTTCTAGCTTCACACACTAGGGCAGCAGCAAGGCGTGGTGGAACAGACTAGAACAGATGGTCCCCCGGCCACCTGGAACCAGCCCGGCGTGCAGGTGTGGACACGGAGACACCTGGGCTCTGCAGAAGCCTGGCTGTGTCCCAGCACGGGAGCTGCGGTCGCTGCTGGGGGACATGGCCTGGGGGAGGTGTCCAACGGGGCTCTCAGGCTGTGCGTGGAGTAGGGACCTGAGACGGGGGAAGACATTCCGGGCAGGAGGAGGACTAGAATCGGACGAGAGAACCTCGCCGGAGGGTCTAACAGAGAGAGCGTGGAGTTCAGTGCTGTGGCCCCTGCTCCCTGCCTCCTGGCCACGGTGGCCGCCCCGTGAGCCGCTGCGGCACAGCGCCCGCCCTGGGGAAGAACAGCGTCCGGGCGGTGCTCCGAGATGCGCTTGCAGCCTGGCTGAGAAGGGCAGTGGGAGCGCAGGGACAGGCCCTGCGAGGGGCTGGCACCTTTCTGGCACTGATGGCCGGTGTTCCCGGACCCAGGGACCCAGAGTGACCCCCTGGGCTGTCCTGGGGACTCGCTTCTCCACAGATTCACCAGGCGGTCATCTCAGTGCAGGGAGATGTGTCCGGAAGGGCAGGATGAGCTTAAGGGCTCTCTCCCGGGGGGCGGAGCAGGGCAGGCAGCAGAGAAGTTAGCTTTCCTTCTGGGTTCCCCTGGGTGTCACCCCCAGTCTGTGCTCCCCTTGGCTCTGAGTTTTATAACAGGGAATATTAAAAAAGCAAAGAGCAGTGAGGGGGATCGTGTGGGGAGATGTCCAAGCCCGGCTTCTAAAATCCGGAGCACTGTCCTTGTCAGAAAAAGGAGCACATGGAAGGGTGGAAAGTTCTTTAAGTTAGAAACATGTATCTTTAAGAAAAGTCCGTTGTAGCCCTCCGGCCTTTCCCAGGCGGTGGCCGTCCACACCAGCGTCCGGGGGGACGTGTGGTGCCGCCACAGAGCCCTGCCCCCTTGTCTCACGTGCCTCGAGGCGCTGGATGCCATCTCTTACCCTCCTGTCGTGGGCTTTCCTCCGCCTGTCCCCCCCGTGATTTGGCAGTGTCTCTTCTCTTACGTGACGTTTTCTGTGTGTCGGAACGTGATGGTTCAGGCCACAGTGTTCTTTCAAAGCCACACGCAGTCACCTGGGGAGTGACTGCCTCGTCACCCACCACGTACCCCTTTTCTTCCTCGCGTTCACTGAGGCCGCGTGGTGGACACGGACAAGGAGCGTGGGGTGCGGGCCGGGCCTTTCACCTCTTGAGACCCACTGACGTCAGCGGACACAGCTCTGTGCTTGCTTCCGCACTCACGTGGAAGGTGGAAAGTTCCAGCACAAGTGGGGGAGGGAAGGCCGAACCGGGAGGATGTCTGGACCACCACGGTGGCTCTCAGGCCTAGACACTTAGGGAGTAGTTCTCAGCCCCGCCTGTCGTGCTGGAAAACACAAAACGGGTCCGTTAGGGGAAGGAGGCAGAGAGGCTGGTGGCGACGGCGGGTGGCACTCTCCTGGGCAGGTCACCTGCGTGCCCACTGGCCCCCGCAGGGGCTGTGGTTACGCCGCGGGGACTGGGATGCTTCTCTAGGGAGCTGCTCACGCCTGAGCTGCCCGCTTCTTTTGGAGCAGCTTTGCCTGTTGAGCTGTGGACTCTTGTTGACCGTGGGTTGGCAGTTAACTTGAACCGTGCGAGCTGCTGGCCCCGTGCTTGGCAACTGGTTGGCCGTCTGTGACCCGCTGGCATGACCTGCGGTGGGGCCCAGGCCGTGACGAGCGCTAACCCGACTCATGCACGCGCTCTTTGCTGTGTCGCTCCCTGCAGGGCGGGCCGTACCACGACGTGCTGCACAGCGTTCTGGGCGCTTACACTTGTTACCGGCCGGATGTGGGTTATGTAAGTGACCTTTTCCAGCACTTTCCACTGCCCTCGTGTACCGAGACAGCCAGACACCGCCCCGCGCCTCTTAGCTGCAGACGTCGGGTTGAGCACCTTCCCAGTCTCGGGGGTTTGTTGTCGAGGGGGCCGGAAGGCCTCGTGGCGAATGAGTTGCCTCCGTTTTCCTGTAAAGGGACCGAGCCGGCGCGGCTGCCCTGTGGCACTTGTCACATTTTAATTGGGTTTGATTTTCATTTTTTGCATGTGGTTTTTTTTTCCCAGCATTAAATCAAAAAGCTTCTGAGCAGTAACCGTTTAAAAGCCATTGCTGCCGTTTATTGCGGCTTTGCAAGTGTGCGCACGCATGGTTTTAGATTTAACCCACTGGGTCAGACATCCGCTCCCTCCGCACCAGGGCGCTACTTTCTGGAGGGCGGCATTGCAGATACAGGGCAGGGGGGGCGTCTATGGTTCCGCAGGGGGACCGAGGCTGGGACTGAAGGGCGCGGGCCCAGAGGCTGCTGTGGCAGAGCCGTTCAAGGAGGGACAGGTCAGGGCCCAGGAGGTCTGAGTCCAGCTTCGGGCGGGTGGCCGTGGGTGGGTATTCCTAGCAGAGGGCGTCTGGCTCCTCTTTTGAATGGAAGAGCAGCTCCGAGCGTGGCTGCAGTCACTTCAATCCCCTTCTCTCCTTCCCGCAGGTCCAGGGCATGTCCTTCATAGCGGCCGTGCTGATCTTGAACCTAGATACTGCAGATGCCTTCATTGCTTTTTCTAATCTTTTGAATAAACCCTGTCAAATGGCGTTTTTCCGAGTGGACCATGGCCTTGTGAGTATCTGTCGTGTACGTACGCCCCAGGTACTGTCCTCTCACACGGCCCGCGTGGCTCAGCATTTCATCAGATGGGAACAGAATGTGTTTTCCAGACATGCAGTCAATAGGCATTTGTACGTATTTCTTATTTGTATGTATTTCTTAATACGTTCTTCGAGACGTGTTTCTGGAGGTACGTTCTTGAAACACAGGAGAGGCTCCTGCCGGGATGTGCGCGCTCTGGGCCCATCATTCACCTCTGCTGCTGCTCCCCCACACACTGGGGCCTGGCTTCTCATGCACGGGAGAGGAGCCTGGGTGAGACCCACTCCTCGATTGCACAGAGGCCGCACTGTGTAGACACCGCTGGAGGTGCAGGGGAGGGAGAGGGGACTGACGGGAGTCTCCCTCACAAGCTCCCAGCGGCAGGGCCTCTTCCTGGCGCAGATGGAGAGCCAGGTCTAGGAAACGACACGCCCCATCAGGCCCCAGAGCCGGGGAGCGTGAGAGCTGCAAACTCAGCCCGTTGTGCCTCCTCGGCCCGTGGGCTCTGCAGCCCGGAAGAGGGGTCGTGTGTCCGACAAGCCCATTGGCCTTTTAATCGGCATTGTCTGGATTGGCTGATAATCTGATGATCGTCACCAGTACTTCAGGACCAAAATGGTCTGGTAGTTTAGATCAGCTGGGGAATCCTTCTCCCCTAATGTACCGGACTTGGAATATTTCCTATGCAGGCAGTACGTACGTTTAAAAAAAGAAGTATTTCAAATCTGCTGCATAAATGACAGCTCTTAGGGGAGTACAGGCTGACGAGTCCTTGCAGGGGGCAGTTCGGCCCTAAGTATCAGTAGTGGAAAGTGGCAGGGGTGTGTGATTCTGCCTGGGAGAGCCATTCCAAGAAGGTCATGGGCAGGGACGAGCATTCTGCGCAGAGATGGTCGTATGTAATTATTCATAACTGTGGTAATTTAAAATTATCACAAAAACGAAAACAGTTTACAGGGGGGTTTAGGAGGAGACAGAAAGTTACTTAAAATCTGGCAGTAGAAACAACAGATGTTGGCGAGGATGTGGAGAAAAAGGGATCCCTCTCGCACTGTTGTTGGGAATGCAAACTGGTGCAGCCACCGTGGAAACAGGGTAGAGTTTCCTCAGAAGATGAGAACTAGAATTACCATACGATCCAGCAATTGCAGTATTAGGTCTATGAACGTGGAAATGAAAGCACTGATTTTAAAGGATACACGCACCCGTGTCTATAGCAGTATTGTTTACAGTAGCCAAACTATGGAAACAGCCCAAGCGTCCATCAACAGATGAATGGATAAAGAAGATGCAGTGTATGTGTCTGTGTGTGTGTGTGTGTGTGTGTGTGTATACACGTGTGTATTTTAGAGAACAAAGTGGTGGTTAGAGGGGGGGCGCAGCAGACGGCTGGCTGAGGTTACGGGCAGGAAGCGTATGTTAGCGTCCAGCGTACATTAGCGCCCAGCAACGTACAGTTAGCGCCCTCTGTTGTACGTCTGAAGCTGACATACCACAGTGTGTTCATAACACTGCAGTTAAAGTAAGACAAAACAGTGAAACCTGGCAGCAAATCCTGTGCAGTACTGATGTTCGCAAAAGGAAAAAAAAAAAACGTACTGTGGGAAAGAATTTAAAATAAAAAGCTAATTTCCTTCAAAGGTGTCTGACAAGGAGCATGTGCCATAACAGCTACCATATTTAACAGTAAAGGGAAATGGACCACAATATTCATCGTGTTTACGGATGGTCTTCTTTCGTTCCTATACTTCTTAAGTTTTCTATACGGAGCGTTTACAGACTTTCACAGTCAGGAAGAAACTTTTTATGTGTAATAAAATGGCTTATATTTAAGTATCTCCTTACTTCGAAGACCTCAGCTTTTTCTTCAGAAGCATACAATAAAGCCTGTACTTAAGAATTTTAGTTTAGGGGGGCACCGGGGTGGCTCAGTCAGTTGAGCATCTGACTCTTGATCTCTGCTCAGGTCATGACCTCAAGGTTTGTGGGTTCAAGCCTGTGTTGGGTGTCGGGCTCTGTGCTGGGTGTGGAGCCTGCTTGGGATTCTCTTTTCTCTCTCTCTCTCCCTCCCTCCACTCCCCCCCAGCCCCGTGCACGCATACACTCTCAATATAAAAAAACTTCACAAGCGTGTTAGCTTCTATTTTTAAGGAAAGATGATAGGATCATAGCATTGAATGGGGTCTCCCAAAAGGAGCACTGAGGACATTGGGGGCCAGTAGCTGTGAGGGGGTGTCCTGTGCCCCACGGGAGACTGGCACCACCCCTGGCCTCTGCCCACTAGATGCCAGTAGCCCCTCCCCCTACTGTGATGATCAAAAATGTCCTCAGACATCGCCAGATGGCCCCCTGGGAGGCAGAGTACCCCCCGCCCCCCGCACCCTTCCCTGGAGTCTGAGAGTGCCATTTGGCCTCACGCACCCAGCTGGCAGTGGGCCAGAACTGAGCCCCTGGGGCTCTGGTGCCTGTGATTCCAGATCCAGCTCTAGCTATTCTGTGCCTGCACTGCTCCCCTGCTCGGCGCACTTGGTGTTCGTACCAACCCGCTAGGAGGTGGAAAGCGCGGACCAGGGCCGGACGGGCCGGGGCCACCGCCTCCTGCCTGAGAAGTGCTGCGTTTCTAAGCCAGGGTGGCGTTGCCTGTGCCACGTGTTAGTCTTCTGTTCCCTCTGGAGGCGCCGGGGCTGTGAGTGGGGGATGCCTCCCTCCTCTGATTGTTTTAGACAGTTCATCAGTCCTTCTTCCTAGAGAATGGTGAGCCCGCAAGCACTCCCCCTGCGCAGCGGGCCAGGCATGGTTCAGGCCCCAGCCTTGCTGCACACCCATGGTGAGCCAGTGACGACCGGGCCTTCCCTTCTCTCGTCTGTACGTTGAGGAGATGCTACGATGTAGTTAGGGATGCCGCTGGGAAGATGAGAGAAGGTGCCGGTTTAGAGATCGCCTGAGCCCGGTGATGAGCTCCCTGTCCAGACGGGGTAGCAAGTGTGGAAGAAGACCCTTGTCGTGTCCTCAAAGCGTTAAGTATGTTGACTTTCCTCTGCAGCTTGCAAACCTGTGCTGATAATCAGCTGATCGGTATATTTCACATTCTCTCCCCAGATGTTGACCTATTTTGCTGCATTTGAGGTGTTCTTTGAAGAAAATTTGCCGAAATTATTTGCTCATTTCAAGAAAAACAATTTAACTCCAGACATCTACCTAATTGATTGGTAAGACCGAATTCCCTGTGTTTTCTCATCTTCCTACTATCTGTGACCCTGACTGTCCTTCTTTATTCCGTCCCGGGGAGACATGGTGTCCTGGACCTATTTGTTTCCAAAGTGCCATCTATCCATTCATCATGTGAGATGCCACTGAGCTCTGGGTCTGTGCTGGGCTCTCTGCTGGGACCCAGTGAGGAGGGGGGAGCAAGACACAGTGCTTTCCCGTCGGGAGCGCTGCCAGGGGGAAGACACTTGTCTATGGACGGCTGTACAGCGCGTGGTCATTCTGTCTCTTAGGGAAGATGCACCAGGCGTAGGGGTCACGGTGCAGAGGCGTCGCCCGAGTTTGAGCCGAGGCACGATGTGAGCACGTGGGGGTCCGGCTGGTGAGGCTGGAGCCTAGAGCAGACGGGCAAGGGGGCAGGCGAGGGAAGGGGGGATGGCCAGGTCGTGTGGGCCTCCGGAGCAGGAGTGTGGGGCCAGTGGGAAGGGTTGCGGGCTTTCGCTGGGGGTGAGGATGGAGGTGGGCTGTATCCAGAAGTGAGGTTCAGGTTCCTGGGGAGCCTGGGGGCCGGGACAGAGACGAAAAGACCAGGGCTGGAACGGAGGCTTCCGCAGCTGGTGGACGGTAGGGAACGGGGAGACTGGGAGAGGAAAGCCTTGGGTCCCTGAGAGAGCTGGTGTGCGTGAGAGAAGGCCGAGAATTGTCCGTCCGGTGAGGGGCCTGTATGTACCGCCAGCTGGGGTCAGAACGGGCCAGATTTGGCAGTGAGCTTCACGGATTTGGCTTGGACGCGGCGATTCTGAGGTGTCTGCTGCACACCTGAGGAGATACACAGATAGGAGGCGCTAGAGAGTTCCGGGCGGAGCCGCAGAACAGCAGATCTTCGCACAGGCGGCTGTGGTCGCCTGAGGAAGGGGTGGGACGCCACCCCAGAGAGCGTGGCGGTGGGGACAGATTTGTGAAACGGGGAGGAGCGTGGGTCTGGAACACGCGGCCCCGCCTCAGTCTCTACTGTTACTTGCCTCGTGGCTGTGGTGATGGGCATCGACCCTGTCCGAGCCCGTTCCCCCAGCTGTCGCCTGCAGTGGTTAACCTTACACGGCGACGCCACCGCCTGGCTTACAGAGGAGCCCTGCAGACAAACCCGTGTCACTCGGCCAGCAGGCCTGTTTAGGCTTCGCCACCACCTTGCATAGTGAATCTCAAACCGCTGGGTACGGATTTGGAGCTGGTTTGATTTTTGATCCTCTGAAGTGAGGCTCAGTCCCTGAAATAAAGCAGACTTGCCTGCACCCTTGGGAACGAAGCTTTGGGATTCTTGGCATTTGTCGCTTCTACCCTAAACCCTGCTGAATATGCGCCGGGAGCCAGGGTTTGGGGGTTGAAGCTCAGAGCTGGTGTCGCTTTGGAGCTGTTACTGTCAGGCCGGGGAGTGACCCCTGGAGGGGTGCTGGGCTGGCCTGTCTGGCGGGGTCTCACAGGGCGCCTGTATTTAATGAATGACCTCTTGGATCAGCTCCCCTCTGCGTGCCCCCCCCCACCCCATGCTCCCACGGTGCTGACCGTGACTTCACGCTGGGCAGGGGTGGGGTGTTAGACGATCAGCCTGGCCCAGAGTCTTCGGCTTCTGCCTCACCTGTGTCGGGGCCCCGGCCCAGATTCTTAGGATTTCAGGCTGAAAGTGAAGCTTGGGAAAAACGCAGTTCTGGAATAGCGTCTTTCAGACTTTCCCTCCCTGACTCGCAAACGGAGGTTGAGTTTAGGTTGTGGTGCGGCGTGTGACCACACGCACAGAAATGCACTCCGTACACATGACTGCAGCTGTTTTAGGCACTATCTGGCCCTTGTTTTGTGTAAGGCCTTCTGAAATTTGAAGAAATTTCCTGTTCTGAATTACTTACTTAAAAAGTGCTGGTGGTCATCAACTCTGATTCATTTCACAGTGTGCTAATCTTTTTTTTTTTAATGTTTATTTTTGAGAGAATGAGAGAGAGGGGACAAATGGTGGAGGGTCAGAGAGAGAAGGAGACACAGAATCCGAAGCAGCTCCAGGCTCTGAGCTGTCAGCACAGAGCCCGACGCGGGGCTCAGACCCACGAACTGTGAGATCATGACCTGAGCCGAAGTTGGATCCACCCAGGCGCCCCCACAGTGCACTAACCTTGACCGGGTCAGCAGGGGCAGTGCGAACAGCACTGTCCTGAGGACCTGTCGTTTCTCCTCTCGTCTGGGGGTGGTTACGATCCAGGTGGGGGCAAAGGCCAAGGGCACCGCATTTATCGGATTTCCCTTAACCCTCAGAGTGAGCTCTTGGAGTGAACTGTAACACCCCCATTTTATAGATGAGAAAAGTGAGGCACGGAGGGGCGGCGTGGCTTGCCCACGGCCGTGGCTGGCTGGCGTTCAAATTCCAGTGCCCGCTCCAGACCTCGCACGCTGTCCCACGCAGTCCCTCTGTGGGGCTCTGTGGGAAGGCCGCGTGACCCGAGAGGTGGGCCCCCGAGCTCAGACATGCTTGTGAGGCTCCCGGGAGCATAACCCTGGACCAGAGCGTCCGTGATGGAAACCGAAGGCGAGGATGGGTGTCTGGGTGGAAGGGTCGCCCCAAGGACTCCTGGGACCGTCGCGGTGGGTCGTGGGTGCCTGCTGCCCAGTGAGGACCGCCCGTGGGGCCCTGTGAGGCCCCGCCTGTACTGCTCTCTGGAGTGAGAACCAGCCCGAGCGCCGTGTCTGGACACTCGCTGCCTCTCTGGGCCTCACGGCGTGTGCAGCAGGCGTACGCACCTCTTCGCACAGAGGCGGCCCCGAGCCCCTACCCCGGATCACGCCCGTAGTGCGCGGTCCAGGCTCACCGCCCTCTAGAGCTTTTACTTTTCCGGTGTGTCCCGCCACCTTCCCAGAGCCACGTGCAGCCCGGAGCTGTGGGGCTGCCCCGGGCGTGTGTTCTGTAGGACAGGGTGACCCTAGGCTTCCGGTTACTAACTGCCGGAGGCCGAAGCCTCTCTGGCCGACCCTGTATCAGGGCTGTGGGCCCGTCCAGGCCGAGCGCCCTGGGGGAGCTGTGTAGCCACTCAGACCCCGAAGTCTTTCTGCCACACTGTCCGCCCACCCGAGGCCAGCTGGGAACTGTTCTGCTTTGCTCCCAGGATGGTGTCTGCACCGTGATGACCACATCGTAGGTCTATAGGCCGCCCCCCCAGCACGGTTGGAGAGGCATTCCAGAATGTTCTCTTCTTCCCCTGCAGTCTGTGCTTCCCTCCATCCCAGCCCTGACCTGCTCCGAGGGCATCTTCTGTTTCCTGCGGGTCCTGCCACGGACAGAGCTCAGTCACTTCCTTGTGGCCGGGGCCTGGCTCCGTGTAGGGGGACCGACGCGCGGCCGTTGGCCTCCTCGGACTATTTCTCGTCACTGCCGACAGGCAGAATTCTCCTGAGATGTGGGCGGGTGTCGCAGTAACTTTGGGTTAGTAAAAGGGTCCCGCAGCACAGCCCACGTCACGATGAGTGTCCGGGTCCTTGGAGAACCCACCCTGACCATGAATCTCTGCCTTGAAGGACAGGCTCAGGGTGAAGTTAGACTTGGCCAGTTTTGGTTTCTGATGCACCTTGTACCTGCTTACTTGTGGATTTTGACTTTGGGGTGACAGGTCCACTCGTGAGCCCCATGAGAGCAAGGCCTGCCTCGCCGAGCTCCCAGGTGTGCGGGCTGGCGTCTGGCATGCACCCGGCCTTCATCAGCGCGTGTGTCGCTGGTGCGCCCCCGCCTGGCTGCACCCGGAGCCTGCAGGCTGGGACGCAAGGCCCCGGTTAGACAGTGTTCTGGGTGCGCGGAGGTAGATCTGACTGCTTCCAGGATCGGCCCGGGGCTTGGACTGCTTAGCTGAGTTGGAAGAGAGTCTTAAATAAGCCTCCCAATCTTTACCGGACGCCGTGTATGGTTGGCATTTCGTGTTGTATTTAGTCCTCGCAAAATCTAATCAGGCTATCTTATCTGGCAGCATCTGCGCTAACTGCTCGGCTGAGGTTGTCAGGAGCATGGGGGGCATGTGGTGAGGGGGGCGGGGGCCCTTCCTAGACCGGCGCTCGGGGCAGAGACTCGTAACCCCCAGAGAATCTGGGCTCAGCTGGGAATTGGGGACTTGCGGGTCCCCACCTCTGGCAGTGGCTTCCCTGCAGCAGAGACTGCCCGTGGCCCTTCTGCCTCGGACCGAAGGCCCCTTCTCCTCAGCCTCCTTTTACGTGCAGTTTCCTCGTCTGGGAAGTGGGGGTGACGATGTACGTCCTGACGGAGCTGCAGCGAGGGTAGATCGGCTAAGCCTGGCCGATCAGGAAGCAGCGCGCAGAACAGAAGTCCACGCTCCCTGCCGGCTCTTACCGCACGTGGCCCTTGGGGTGTGGACCAGGGCAGCGCTGGTTTCTGAGAATGAGCCTTCGCCTCTGCAAAGGCTTTGGAAGCAGGAGAACTCCTTCTCCCCCTTCCCGACCCCCCGGCTTGCCTGCGGGCTCAGACGAGCAGGTAGAACAGACGTTGCAGAGAAGGATGTTTTCTGGAAGTCGTGGGGCGTCGGCCGGAGGCACCAGCCTGTTGCTTCTGCACATCGCGGGGGAAACAGGTGCACAGAGCTGCGTCGGGTGTTTCCTGTAAGCCTGTGGCCACTTGTTTAGTTCAGCAACACAGAAGTGGGTTAGTTTGCATTCGTTGAATTTGTACCTGAAGTTATCATTTTTCCTAAGTTTATTTTTTTGAGAGAGAGAGAGCACGAGCAGGGGAGGGGCAGAGGGAGAGAGAATCCCAAGCAGGCTCCGTACTGTCGGGGCAGGGCCTGACTTGGGGCGCCATCTCACGGACCGTGTGAGATCCTGACCTGAGCCGAAATCCAGAGTCGGACACTTAACCGACTGAGCCACCCGGATGCCCCTGAATTTACCGTTTTGGTGTAAAGTGCAGTCACACTCGGTGGTCCAGGGAGAAGCCTTGAAGGCCCTCTTGCTACATGGAGAGAACCGCGCATCTGTCCCGGGCAGGCCTCGGAGCCCTGCCCCTCTCGCGCTCCCGGGTCGGAGCAGGGTCGGGGCAGGAGGAAGCCGAGCGCATTGGGCCCGCTGAGGGCTCTGGGACGGCTGGGGGCGGGAAGGGCGGGGGCCCCCGGGCAGCGGCTGCCCTGTTGTTCCTGTGGCTCCGGTGGGAGCCGTCCCGGTCCCGGGGCTGCTGTGAAGCCAGGGCAGGGCCTGGGGAGCGGGAGCTGAGTGCGCTCAGAGGGTGCAGACCCGGGGGCCGTCCCGGGGCCAAGTGCACCTGAGGAGCGGCTTTCTGCGCGGCCCGTGCTGTCTGAGACTCTGGGCCGAGTTGGGTGACTGTTGGGAAAGATCCGGGGCTGGCTGCCAGCACCGAGTGAGAAACCAGGCCAGCCTGAGGCCCAGGAAACGGGCCTCCGCCTTCCAGGAGTGGGAGGGGATTCACGGAATGTTTTCTTCAAAAGGCACATTTTGTTCAAGGCGGTAAGGTTCAAGGCCCCAGCGACTCTGTGTCAACGCAGAAAATGGTGACTGGTACGGAGGGTGGCTCAGCTCGCTCTCCTGCGCGGAGTGCGTGTCGGGCACCACCTCCGTGTCTGCCGTTACCCCCATCTGACGCTGGGACACTGCCTCTGGTGCCATCTCTGCACAGACCGTCGCCGGCCCGAAGCCCTTCTGAACTCCAGGTCGTAAATAAATGATGAATTCCTTTGGCCACGTGGACGTCTGACACTCAGAGAGCGTGTCCTCACACTCAGCCCTTGACATTGTTGACGCAGCCAGGGACCCCGCGTGTCCTTAACGGACAGCTCCCTCCTTCCAACTGCTCGGCTGAGACCGGCGCCCTTGACTCTCCTCTGCTGCCCTTCCCCTGAGATCAGTCCCCCGCGGATGCAGAGCTCCTGCACTATGGCCTCCCTCCCACCTTGCCTGGTCGTTTCAGTGGCTGCCTGGGGTCGCCCGCGTCTCGGCGCAGCGGACGGGGCCCTCATCTGGTCAGACCCTCTGCCACTTTTGCCTTGCACGTGGGGGAAAACGTGAAGACCTTGGAACCGCCCGTCAGGCTGCCCGTGCCTGGCCCGCGTCTGCCCGGGCTTCTCCGTGGGCTCCGTCCTTCGCTCTTTGTGTCTCCAGCCCAGGTTCCTCCTGGTTCCTCCCCCGCTGTGCCAGGCTCACTCCTGCCCCGGAGCTGGGGACACCTTGCTCCTTCGGCTGGATACCGCCTCTTGGCCCGTGGCCTCATTTTCAGGGCTTCTGGACACGCTGCTTCCTCGCCCGTCCTGTGTAGACGTGTGTGTGCGTGCGTTCACACGTGTGCCCATCCGGGCCACGGTCCCTGGCGCCTACCTCTGCTCGTGGGTGCACCATCTGACATGCTGTGCGCTTTGTCCCCTTTGCTCCGGAGCCAGGGAACTTTGTCCCTTTTGTTTGATGCCACGTACCCTCGTCACCAAAAAACCGTGATTAGCATATAGTAGTCGCCTTCAGAAGGTACTCTTGATGGGAGGACAGATCTGCTCGGCGTCGAAAGAGCTCGGGTGTGGGCAGTTCCCGCACGGAGCAGCGGAAGAGCCTGGGAGGGATGTGAGGACCCAGCAGGGCGTGCCACTCACTCCCAGTGGCATTCTTGGTCGTTTAGATGTTGGCTCAATTTTACAAAGTTTGGGACAGCGAAAGTGGCTTCTGGAGAGGCGCACGTGAATCTGAAGCCAGAATGTCACATCACTTTTCTTTCGTTGTTACTCTGCTCTTTGCCCATGGCTTTGTCTGTTTTCTGATAATTTTTTTACTTAAGGCTCTGCTTTTCAGATGGCAGGGGTTTGCTTTCCAGGAATGAACTTGCAGGTAAGAGAGGGTATCACGGATGATAGTCCATTCTGCTTTTTTTTAATAGCATTAATAATGTACATTTTGTAGGTAGAATTGAGAATGTTCTCTAGATTCAGACTAGAAACCAAAAAGTCTCTTGGACGTCATGAACAAATAAACTTAAAGAAAACAAGCGGGGCACCTGGCCGGCTCCGTCGATGGAAGGTATGGATCTTTCTGCAGGTTGATGGCCGTAGAAATGACTAACAATAAAGAAACAAACATGAAAGAGTCTCTTGGATCTTCCTTTAACTGTTTTCTTGACCGGACGATGAGTCGGTTTTCCGTGTTTGAGACAATAAGCAACTCGAGCTCAAGGCTTGTTGTGACTTGAAAAAATAAAGTGTCCTGGGCACCCAGCTGGCTCCGTCGGTGGCTGGCCTCGGGGTCGTGGGCTCCAGGCCCACATTGGGTGGAAAGATTACTTAAGAATAAAATCTCTGAGTAAACAGACAGATAAACACCCAGGCTTCAACAGTGCATTGCCCCGTCATGTATACAGCAAGCAGTCTGGTCGTGTCAGCCTGGGGCTTCAGGGTCAGGGTCACAGCCTGGCTTCCCACTTACTGGGTGCGGGACGGGGGGCCCAGTTCCTTCGGGTCAGATGAGCTAAAAGCTCACATCCCCCAGGGGGTGCCGGCTGCTGAGTGCGGGGCACTTGTGAAGTGCCTGGTGTAGCGCACGGTACTTCGTAGGTCCCTGGTTTAACCTCAGCTCTTGTGGTTTGTATGATGTAGGGGCCTTTCTGTGACACCTGTCCCTCTTCCAGCAGCTGAGTTGAAGGAAATCTAAATTGTCCTGCCACCTTAAAACTCTGATCAGAGCTTGGTAGCCTTGAATATTTGGGGCTCTCAGCATGCTGTTTGGAATGCGTGCCCTTGACCGCATGAAACATTCCTCTGGGCCCCAGAGGAGAGGCTGTTTCTGAGCACGCTGCCACGTGAGAGCTGGGAGGTCACCACAGACTCAGGAGCACGCTGGCCACTACGGCACAAACCTTCTGGTGGCGTCTGTCCTGGGAAGCAGTCCAGCTGTGGAAGGCTGGACGACACTGCTCTCGGACCAGGGCGGCGCCTCCTGACACCGACCCTTTCCAGAGTCGAAATGCTTAAACCTGATACTCCAGTTGATCACCCGAGATGGTCTATGTCTGGGAGTCTGAATGGTAATGATCACAATAATTATCAAGGTATTTTAACATAGTGCATATCTGTGCTTCACTTTTTCACCTGACGGTCTGCGTTTTTAAGTATAAGATCAGTTTCTTCTAATCTACATTCAAACGCATTTGGAAGATTTTGCTTTGTTCCTTTGCAGACCCCTTGGGGGCGAAAAGTGTACAGCGCTCTTCACGAGTAATGGGTGCATGTGTACACTGGTCATAAGGGCCTGTCGGCTGTTTTTACTCCCCTCACGCTCTAAGCTCCATCCATCTTATTAACCTTGTGCCCAGCGCCTACCAGAGTAATAAGCACGTAGTAGATTCTCGACAAATACCTTCTCGAGTATAGACGTAATCAGAGTCAGCACTATCGAAATCGTACAGGGACTCTGCGTGAAAGCCGATAATGCTTTTTTATAAAATCGGCCTTCAGGATTTCGGCCTCGTTCCCCCGCTCCCCGCCCCCCCACCTTGTGTCTCAGTACGAGCATCACTAGCTCAGGGCAGGTCCTTAATGAATCTGACCTGAATTCAGCGCTCGCTCTTCGTGCCGTCCCAAACCTGAGAACCTCTGAACTTGTCTTCCAGGATCTTCACCTTGTACAGTAAGTCCCTGCCCCTCGACCTGGCCTGTCGCATTTGGGATGTGTTCTGTCGTGACGGCGAAGAGTTTCTGTTCCGCACGGCCCTGGGCATCCTGAGGCTGTTTGAGGACATCCTGACCAAGATGGACTTCATTCACGTAGCCCAGTTCCTCACGAGGCTCCCCGAGGACCTGCCTGCCGAGGAGGTTTTCGCCTCCATCGCCACAATTCAGATGCAGAGTCGCAACAAGAAGTGGGCTCAGGTAAACGCATCGTTTGGTCTCTTTTTCCCGCAGACGGTTGGGCTCTGTTGCATGATTGAGGAAGCTCATTGCTGCCTTGTGAGAAGAAGGCTGTCCCTAAACAGAGTCCTTCTTATAAACCTGCTGGGCCCGGGCAGGGGTGGCCGGGCTTGTCCCCGTCACTGAGAAACGTGGAAGACCCACAAAAGCGAAGTGCTTGCCCTCCGCAGTCGGTGGAGGCCAGGAGGGCTGAAGGATGGCCCCCTGGGCCGTGTACTCTGGCCTCTGGTGGCCGAGCCGCCCGTGTGGGAGCAAGTCCATCCTGGGCCTACTTCTTCTAGGCCCCTCTGACCTCTGGACGTCCCGTCTAGGGTTGTCCCCTGTGGGATTGGCCGGTGTTGTCTGGTTCTAAGTCTTTATCGGACTTTAAAAAAGGAAAAAGAAAGCCCTGCCTCTTGACCCGCATAGGCTCAAAGCTTGTGTGAGCGTCAGGGCCCACTCGAGGTTACCTGGACGCTTCTGCTCCCCTGTGTAGGCCAGACTGCACGCCCCTCATTTACCCTTCTTGTCAGTGGGAGCTTTTAACTCCACATTAAAGTAGAATAAAATACATCCCAGACCCTACATCCTTATCAAACAGCCATTCGTTTTTCAGATTTCTGACAGTCTATCACTGGCCTCACAGTTTGAATCAAGAGCCAAATAAGGTTCGCGTAGCCGGGAGCGGAAAGATCTTTTTTAGTCTGTTTATAGTACGTAGTTCACACCACCTTTCCTTTCATCCCTCCTCCTCCTCTGTTGGTGAAGCAATGAACTCACTGGTTCTACAGCGGTTCCTAGGGTCTGGATCTTGCCCGCTGCACCCGGGCAGCGGTGTTCGGCGTAATCTTCAGTACTGGCTGTTTCCTGTAAAGTGACTCTCAGATCTACCGGCTTGGTCATGTTCAGGTGTTTATGTTTGGGCGTATTACTGTCCAGCAGCCTATTTAATTCTATAACAGTTTTATTGAGATGTAACTTACAGATCTTAAAACTCGCCCTTGTGTAAGTGCACAGGTGAGCCCATTTGGTGACCAGAGGGCAGGGCCCCCGCTTGCCTGGGTCGTTTGTCCTCGCCCTTTCTGTCCGTCCTGCCCCGCTACACGGCTGTCTGGCCGGTGGACTGTCTTCCTGTCTGGGTCCCCTGGTAAGAAGCGAGTCTGCTGTGACTTTGGGGGATGCTGCGAGGGGCTCCTCTGGCTTTACTGGGGACGGGGATGGGCCCCGTTTTGTGCTGGGGGGGACGCGGTTTGCATTTTTGAATGTTACATACATTCCGTGCATGGAGAGGAATGAAGTGCGGGCCTTGGGCACCTCGTGTGGCGTGACACAGCCAGGCGCTCCCGACCAGGGCAGGTCCAGGACAGGCAGGGGGCTCCCGGCAGCAGGGGAGATCAGCGGGGTCACGGGGCCCGCAGTGCCCGGCTTCTCCTGGAGGCGGTGGGGACGCTCTAAAGCCGGCCGCGGCAGTGTCACACACGTGCACAAACGCCTCAGCCTGCGGGGCCCGCGCTCACTGGGCAGCTCACATGGGAAGGAACCACACCTCAGTAAAACGGCACAGAATCCGCGCAGCTCATGCTGAGCAGGGCTGGCCGTGCGCTCGTCAGGGGTCTGGGGCGAGGCAGGAAGAGCCTTTCTTTGGGTGAGAAAGAAATGGACGGTGCAGCACAAAAATCTGGGGCCACACGTTCCTAACTAGCAGGAGTGTGAAGGCGGTGACTGTAGAGCCAGCAGCTGGGCGGGCCCTCCGGGCGGGGCCCCTGTGTGACCACCTGGGCCGTGTGCCTTGCGTGCAACGGCGCTGCCATCCTCTGACTCGCTCCTCTGGTTCCCTGAAGCCGAGGCAAAAATGGTAGAAACACTCGGCTAAAACTAGGTTGGGGGCTCTTGGACAGTAGGACGTTTTCTAGGATTGGGATCATGAGAGCTGGCCTGCCGCTGGGGTGCGGGTGGGCGTCGAGTTGACACGGCTCCAGGTTCCCCGCGAACTGTGGTCCGTATTTCCCCCGAATGCATGGCCTCGGGCTAAGGCCCCGGAGACCTTTGCAGAACCAGTAAGTGTGTGTCTGCTTGGCAGCCCCGCGGGGGCGGCGGCGGCGGCGGGGAGGGCACTTAGCCGCCCTTAGTCCTTCCGTGTAGCTTACTGGAAACCTACACAAAATGCTTCTGCTCCGCCCCGGGGAGTCTGTGACTTGGGCGCAGTGACGCGGCGCCAGGTAAGCCCGGGGTTGCGTGCGGTGAGCTGTCAGCAGTCTCTCTCGTGAGCGCCCGGTGCTCGGCTGCCCAACTGCGGGGCCTTAACCTTCCCGAGCGTGTGCTGTGTGCACCGACGGCCGCAGCGCATGACGTGCCCGGAGTCGGGGGGCCCATGCTGTTGCCACTACTGTGCCCAAGCGGTCACGGTGCAGTGTGGGGTCTTTAAAAACGAGTGTGTTAACCAAGAGCTGAGGGAGCGCAGAGTTGGGAGCGGAGGGGAGAGTTCAGGAGGCAGAGAAGAGAGCCCGTGTCCGTGTCCGGAGCAGAGCAGAGTGCGGTTTGCTGGGGAAGGGGAGGGGCGGGCGGGGGAGGGGAGCGGCTGCACTGACGGCCCAGGGGCGCTCGGTGGCCTGCTGGAGGGGGTGGGCTGGCGCCGGGGCGGAGGGAGAAGCCCTGCACCGGCCCCATGGCCTGTGGGACACGGCTGCTGGGCGCGCACCGGAGGCGGCGCGGCTGGTTCCCACGCGAGCAGGAGGGCCCTGGGCGCGGCTGTTGAAAGCGGGGCGGGGGCGGCGGGGGTGGGGAGGACACACACCGGCCAGGAGGCCACGCGTCCCGCCGCCCGTGTCCAGTGCGCTTGCAGGTCACCCACGGGCGTCTCCCCTGTGCTTCCAGGTACTGACCGCGCTGCAGAAGGACAGCCGCGACTCGGAGAAAGGAAGCCCGTCGCTCAGACACTGAGGGGACAGGCGGACCCGTGCCCGGCCCACGGCAGACCTCCAGGCGGCGCCTGCGTGGCCTCGGACACACACACTGGCCGCGGACAACAACGGGCTGTTTTCACAACTGACCCTAACCCTGGAGTTGGCCTTAAACAAAACAAAAGAAACGACTTTTAAAGGACTCACCCCAAGGCTTAGCCTTAAGGAGCTCGGCGGGACGACAAGCTGGTGTGGACCTCGGCCAGCGCCGCGTCCTCTGCATGGTTTAAAAATGAGGCAGTGGCTACTTCCCCCTCCCCCCATTTCAGCGAAAGTGAATTAAATTGTCATGCTTTTATGTCACCTGATGGAAAGTACATTCCGGTCCTCCGTAGCCCAGGTGCAGGAGAGCCCCCCCCCCCCCCCCCGGGAGGCCCGGAGAGGTTGCTGGCTCCTTTCCGTCGTGAGCAGGGAGGGGCCGTCGACTCGGTGTTCAGGACAACCTTTCCGGAGCTGGCGGTGACCACGTGCTCACAGCCCGCCTGGCGGAGCTAGCGGGAAAGGAGGACGGGCTGTCACGGGCGGTCCCGCACCAGTGCCCGGGCTCCCCAGCTTCTCCGTACGCGGGTCGGGGGCCCGTGCTCTCCCCGAGGTTCAGGGGCGGCTGTGCACACAGAAGGCCTGAGACCTGACGGGAAGAGCGCGGGAGGGAGCCAACCCCCCCCCGCCTCCTGTCTGCGGGCGCTGGGGGCCGGGGGGCCTGCGCCCGTGCCGTCACACGATGCTGCTCCTCCCCTCGTCCCCTGAACGGGTCCTGGATGCCAGTGGTTTCCTCCTCGCACGTCTGGCTTCGGGCTGGACCGTCGTGAGGGCCGAGGAATGGCTGTTCGCTTCCGGTGGCGCAGACGGGCCGGTCGGGGCCCTCGGTGCTTGTTCTGCGCGCCTCCCCCCCCCCCCCCCCCCCCCCCCCCCCCCCCCCCCCCCCCCCCAGTCATAGCCGCAGCCGCTCTCCCCCAGGTTCATCGGTCAGCAGCTTTGTGGTCCTGACTTTCTCTCGAGTGACTCTTCCCAGTTCTGTCGTACAAGCTCCGGTTGTCCAGACTCAAGGGGACAAGCAGTTCCGCACGGAGCCGCGCGGAGGACAGGCAGGCCCGCGTGTGGGAGCGCTTGGCGGCCGGGGCGCCGTGGGCCGGGCCCTCCCCTCGGCCCTGGCAGCGGGCACCTGGCAAGGAGGCCGGGACGGGGCTGGGGCCTGACCGTGACCTCGCCCCGGCGGGTTTTCTGCGTCCACCCCGTCCACTGCCGACACGTGTAGGCGCAGTAGCCAGTCGGGGAGCCGGGGCCACCCGTGCGCCCTTCACCCCAGTTCTCTCCCGCGTGTCCTGTTTTCTGGAACTGCCTTTGCCCCCTGTCGTCTTAATCGAATTCTCCAAGGAGGCTGTGGAGCAGCTTGGAGACACTTCCTGCCTCAGCCTCCAGGCGCTGACCCACCCCACCTCAGGGGAGGCGTCCCGGGACCCCGCGATGCTGAATGTAACCCCCGACCGAGCCCCACCGGCTGCCCCACCACACGCGCGGACGCGGTCCCACGACGCGGGCGTTCTGTCCGGAAGGGTGTATATATTTTCTTACTGTACGTGAAGACATTCCTAAATCAGGCCAGGAAGCGACGCCACAGGGGCCATGTGCTGTGGCTGCGGGGCATGTTCGTGGGCGTCACGGGCGTTCAGAACCCGGCCCTTAACCCTTTTTTGATCCCAGCAGCTGGACGTAAATCTCTTTGGATTTGCGTCACTATTTATGCATTAAGTTTTTAACAGGATCCCATGGTGACCCGAAATCCTTAGCGAGTCTTTAGCTCCGAAGAGGTTTTCGTGACCTGTTCAGGGGCCGCGTGAGGTCTTGTGGTTTGACGTGTCCGCCTCCAAGGCCGGGGATCCTGAGCTCCCACGCAGGGTCACGTGGCCCCTTTCCACAGAGGGCTGCACAGGCCAGGCCTCTCTGTTTGAGGCGTCCACTTAGGAAGACTGGAAACGAGCGGAAATGCCACGCACCCCTTCGGAAGTCCGCACTTTCCCCTTCCCGTGCCCGCCATTCCCGGATTCCAGGACTTCAGGCTCCGGACGGGGCGCATCAGGCCCTTGGGGGTCGGAAGCTGCCTCCCCCACCCCCGGTCCCTGAAAGCTCTCCTGGAAACATGTTCACTTTCAATGGTACTTTTTAACTGCTCAGTTTTTTTGACTATTTTAAATAGTTTGCCGATAGAAAAATTCCTGGTAATACTTGCTACATATCATGTTTTAATTGCCTGTACAGTTACCCTTTAATTTTATTTAGCGGAGCCTATCAAATTAGGACTTTTTGAATTGTAAATATGTGGTTTTATTAAATAAAAGTCACGTAAAATTGTTAACTCGTGTTCACTGTTGCTTGGTTTAAGGTGGACGTTCCCACCGTGAGGTCTGGCAACACCGGACTCCGAGGGCCGTGCTGGGTGACGGCCGCCAGGCTCAGTTAAAGGAAGAAGCTGTCAGTTCAGAACATTTGCCCAAGGGACTGGGGAGTTTCGTGTGCCTGCCCCTCGGCTGAAGGGGAACCTCGGGCTTGCCCGCCCCGGTGCCCCACCAGGCTCGCCGCTCGCACCCCTGCGCCCGCCCCAGCAGCTGGTGCACACTCACCGGGGGCCTGCTCAGAGCCTCGTGCGCAGGGTGCCATGGCCCAGCACGACCGCCACCCCTCCCGGGGCGCAGAGAAGAGAGCAGGAAGTGCCCGAGAGAGGTGGCATGTGTGCTCATGTCCGCGGCGTGCGCTGGGCTCTCGGAAGCAAGGGGAGGAGCCTGCCGTGTCCCAGCCGGAAGGTGCGCGGCCCTCGGCGCTGCCGCCTCCTTTGTCCCCAGGCAGACGTTGCTGCCCCTCTGGTGTCCGTGTGGGGGGGACTCCGTACTCCCCGCCCCAGAGACCACGCAGCGCGCTGCCAGGGCATTCTCTGGTGTCTTCACCCCCAGCACGAGGCTCCCGTCTTCCTCACGAGGGGGTCCCGTCGCTGCTCTGGGCCGCTGTTCTCTCTCCTCCACTTGGCACCGCTGTGAGGTGCTGTGGCCGCACGGGTGGCCGCAGTGGGCGGCCGTCGTGTCCTGGGGCTTGCGGCGCCGCCCCACCCACCCCGGGCCCCAGGCTGAGGTCTGTGAACGGCCTCGTTTCTCTGCCCAGCAGCCCTGTCCCCATTCCGCAGGCAGGATGCGGAGAGCTGGTCTGCTTGGACCGGCCTGGGGTTCAGCCTCCGGCCCCTCCCCAGGGAGCAGGCCCTCGGAAGCCTGCTTCCCCTCGCCCTGACCTCAGCGCCCAAGCGCAGGGTGTGCGGTGAGGACTGGATTCCCTCCCGGAACGCCTGTGACAGCCGCTCCGGGAGGACCGTGGGGAGGCGCGAGCCTTGGGGATGGGAGGTGTGGACCGTTTCCCTGAGAGACACTGGGGGGCGGACAGTTCAGAAACCAGCGCCCAAAGGCAGAGAGGGCACAGGATCCTGCAGCGGTAGGCGGGGACCCCGCTGGACCTCCACCAGGAGCCGCTGGTCCGCAGAGGAAGGGCACGGCCAGCAGAGGGCAGCCTTAGAGCCAAGGCCAGTGCTCAGACGGGGCCGCCAGTCCCCAGGTGCTTCTGAGAGGCCCTGGGTGCCGGCTGGCCCACAGCAGCTCAGGCTCCTCCGGGAGCACCGCGTGCCTGCAGCTGGCTGGCGCCAGGAGGGGTCTCTCCGCTGGGCACGGCCGCGCCAACAGAAGTACTTAAGCTGCACAAGCCTCCTTTTTCTTTTAAAAAGGGCACCAGGTGGGGCATCTGGGTGGCTCAGTCGGTTAAGCATCTGACTTCGGCTCAGGTCATGATCTCACGGTTTGTGGGTTCGAGGCCCGCATCGGGCTCTGTACTGACAGCTCAGAGCCTGGAGCTGCTTCGGATTCTGTATCTCCCTCTCTCTCTGACCCTCTCCTGCTCACGCTGTGTCTCTCTCTCAGAAATAAAAACATTAAAAATTAAAAAAAAAAAAAAGGCACCAGCTTCCATCCCCTGGCTCAAGAGGATTAAAAGAAGATGCTGAATTGTGTCATCAAAAGAAACACATCGCCATAGGTAGCCAGAATCGTGGCTCTTGACATACGTTTTAGTATCTGAGCTCTTGGTGAACTTACGAATTTTAAAGATCGGTATCTTCCCCCTCAATTACTAAATGCATGTTAAATACAATTTGGAGATACGCCAAAGCACACAAAAAATATAATAATTTCACCACCTAGGAAAGACACTGTTTTCATACTCTGACTTTTTTCTTCTGTTTACCCCATTGTACACGAGAGCACGTTGAGGAGGGAGCACCTTTAGAAAGGTGGAGTGTTCATCCCAGGCCACAGTCAGAAGAGACTAGAATCAGGTCAGCCTGATTCCAAAGCCCTTCTTTGCAGCTGCTACACGGTATTCCTCCTCGATGCACCTCTGTGCTCCTCCTCTGGGGTGAAATGCTAGAATTCTGCCTGCATCAGTGAGAAAAGTGGGGTGGGCGTAAATTTATTCATTCGAACCAGTGTCTGTATAGACCGTGGTTACAACAGGAGCATGCCCGGCAAGCAGGGCTGCGGGTGGGAGCAGTGCCCAGCCTGTGGCCCCTGCTCCTCCCGGCCGCGCAAGGGCAGGTGCCCCCGGCCCGGAGTCCTTCTAACCATGTCGCTTGCTCAATTTGTCCTCACACGAAGACTGTCTTCCAAGTCGAAAACAGACAAAAGCGGCCTGGGACCATGAAGGGGACACTTCTCTTTCCAATTTATTTTTTTAAATATTTGAGAGAGAGTAGGGGAGGGGTGGAGAGAGCAGGAGAACCCCAAGCTGAGAGCACAGAGCCTGACACGGGGCTCAAACTCACAAACGGTGACCTCACGGCCTGAGCCGAAATCATGAGTCAGACAGTTAACCAGCTGAGCCACCCAGGTGCCCCTCGACTCAGGCCAAGTTAAAAAGTTTCATGTAAATTTTTTTTTAATGTTTTATTTCTAGGAGAGAGAGAGAGAGACAGCGTGAGCAGGGGAGGGTCAGAGAGAGAGGGAGTCACAGACTCTGAAACAGGCTCCAGGCTCTGAGCTGGCAGTCAGCACAGAGCCCGACGCGGGGCTCGAACCCACGAACCGCGAGATCGTGACCTAAGTGAAAGTCGGACGCTTAACCGACTAAGCCACCCAGGCGCCCCAAAAGAAGTTTCATGTAACATCTCAAGTTTTTCTCTGCCTGCACCTTGCAGGCCCTACTTTTTGACGAGATGACAAACTCTCTAGCCTTTGATTGGAGAGGTTTCCAGTCCAGCCCCCCTCCCGGTGGCTCCCCCCCCATCTTCAGAGGAAGGCTCCCCAGAGGCAGTCTCTGCCCGGATGGACTCTGTGTCCAGAGTGTGCCCTTCCAAGGCCCAGTCACTCTCCTCACCGGTTCTCTTTCTCCGGGTGATTATTTCTGAATCTGATAGAGGACTTAGCAGTGCCTGGTACATAACGGGCATTCAAGTAACTTGTTCTCAGAGAATGAGAATGCATGACGTTGATGTATTAATCCAACAAGTTACTGAGCACTGATTGTGTGTTAGGCATTGTACTGGCTCCTGGGGAGGGTGACCGTCCTTACCCTGAGGGCCTCTCTCACTGGGGGCCAGAGAACGAAGCAGAGGGGCTCAGAGGCTGGGACGGGACTAGCCACGGGCTGCCATGGGGCACAAAGGGCGCATCAGGAAGGCGGGGGCCGTGGCGCGCTCTCTCAGAGGCGATCTAAAGGAAGGATTTGTGAACGCGTTGCTACCTCGTGGTTAAGAGCTCTCCTGTAATCTAATTAGAAGTTATGAAGTAATCAACAGGATTATTGATCTTCTAATGAATCGTAACGTCTGTCGCACGAGATGATGAGAAGGCCGGTCACTCTGCAGCTTAAAGCAAGGCCAGCTTGGTCAGTCTCTATCTCTGTGCTCTCAAGAGCCTGGTTCAAGGCTGGTGCGGGAGTGCTGGGTTCAGCCTGGCTAACTGCCAGTGGGTCCGAGTCAGCTGAAAATGCCTAACCCCCCCACCCCCACCCCCCAGCGAGCCCAAGGGATAGGCGCTCTGGCAATGACAGCTATTCGCTGGGGGGCGCAGGAGCCCGTTGCCAGTTTCCCTTTGAAGGCTTCCCAAGCACAGAAGAACCCAGCGGGTCTGTGCCGCTTTTAGCGGGAGGCACGAGAAGACGGAGTTCCATTTGCTGGTGATGTACACCTTCACTTTGGCCTTGAGGAACCCGGCAGAGGGAAGAAAACACTTGCAGGGGATGAGGCGGCTGGAAGCAGGTAGTGAACGCTTTTTACCTCCCTCGTCGTGATGTGTGTGTGGTTTGGTAAGTGTGATCATATAACAGAGTGTATTCTTTTATAAAAGGACTTTTAATCAACCTTTATAGGCTTCAGAGGGAACACACCATCGCATCACCAAAAGGTAAGATGGACTCCCGACCCACCGAGTCCTCGATCTGCCTAGAGCAGGACTTCTCCCATTCTGTAAAGGTGTTCACCAAACAACGGGTCACCTTCCTGTGGCCTACTTAAGTGTGCGGATGGGAGAACACTTCTGATCGCACATCTGCACGGCTCAAAATTCAATTTAAAATTAAGCAGAGGCGGGGCGCCTGGGTGGCTTAGTCGGTTAAGCATCCGACCTTCGCTTAGGTCATGATCTCGCGGTTCGTGGGTTCGAGCCCCGCGTCGGGCTCTGTGCTGACTGCCAGCTCAGAGCCTGGAGCCTGTTTCAGTCTGTGACTCCCTCTCTCTCTGACCCTCCCCTGCTCGCGCTGTCTCTCTCTCTCTTTCCTAGAAATAAAACATTAAAAAAAAATTAAAATAAAATAAAATAAAATTAAGCAGAGGGGCGCCTGGGTGGCTCAGTCAATGAAGCATCCGACTTGGGCTCAGGTCATGATCTCGCGGTTTGTGAGTTCGAGCCCCGCGTTGGGCTCTGTGCTGACAGCTTGGAGCCCGGAGCCTGCTTTGGATTCTGTGTCTCCCTCTTTATCTGCTCCTCCCCCACGTACTCTCTCTCTCCCGCTCAAAAATTAAGATTAAAAAGTAATAGAATAAAATAAAATTAGGGAGAAATAAAACCAACCCCCCCCAGCTCCAAATGCATCAGAGAAAACTGCAACTGCTAATCACGGATCCTGGATTAGAGAGGCAGGCCTAAGAGGCATTTCTTACATTAACACGAGGAATACTAGACATTTCAATATTTGATACACAGTAAAATCATGTGCGTAGTGACGGTCCAAGATCCAAAACGATCTTGCGGGAAACAGAAGGCTCGTGGGCAGCTGGCGGTCCGTACCCCATATACTGTGCGCCTGGCCAAGCACGATGCCATCGTCATCTTGTCTTCCCTGGAAAATAAAATTTCATGTGTTTGTATAAATGTGTTTCTCTAGAGGATCCAGGAAAACATTTCATTAGAATTGAAAACGGCCATTGAGCCAGAGGTCACATCAACGGTGGAGCAGACTGGGCGGCCTCTCACGGAAAAAGGAAAGAGCACCCAACCTCGGCTCCCTTTCCTACGTGTCACTTCTCCTGTTCCCTGGGTCTTGTGACCTAGACGCTGGTGCCACCTACATACCCAACACTTCTAGATTCATCTACGGAAATGAGGGCGCTCTGAATTGAGAACGTGACTCAGGACATGTTTTAAAGATTTAAAGTGGATTTAATCGTTAGCGTCGTGCGCAAGACATTCCTTGGTCCCCTGCCCGACTGTTGGACCCTCCTACACGTGGAAGAGGGACCATCGTCCCCGGGATCGGGTCACTGAAATTACGGAGTTGCTCCGACATGGAAAGGCTTTTGACAGCTTTTTATGAGACGTTAGGTACCGCGAGTCACCCCGGGGTTTGTTTCTCGGGGCCTGTGTTAGCGAGCCCCGTGTACAGCTGTTGACTCAATTTTGTTCTCAGGACTCATTTGGAAGCTGAAACACGAGCAGGTTGATTCAAAAGCTGGCTCCGTCCCCAATATCAGAGGCCTTTAAAGATGGCAACAAATTTAGAATAAACTGGGACGAGGGTGAGTTGCTTTCACGAAAGCCGTTCGGCCGGCTCTTCCCACCGTCGTGCGTGTTAAGGTGGGAGAAAGGCTTTGGCTTCCCTGATCTTCTGCCTCACGCCTTTGCAGGACATAGTCAGCCCCGCGTGGTGACGCTTCAGGGATTCCAGATGCTGCTGGAGCCGCACTGTCCTGTCCACCTTCTCTTCCAGGTCCCGGAGGAGCGGCTCCTTGCCCACAAGCCCACACTTCTGATTCAGCTTGATGTTGTCAGTCCTCAGCCTGTCCCGGGCCTGCTTGGTCTTGGTCAGGATGTCCCTCCTCAGGGCCACCTGAGCCTCGATTTCCAAAAGCTGCGACTTTTTGCACGCATTTTCCATATCCACAAAGTGCAGCTTCTCCTTCACGTGGGTTATGACTTGCACGTTGTTGGTCAACTTGCTGCGCAGTTTTACCAGCTCCTCGTTCCGCTCCTCCACCTTCTCATTGAAGGTCTGGTTCTCGATCTTCAGCTGCTCGAAATCGATGAGCAGCAGACCCTCCGTCATGTCCTCCTGGGCCCTCATCCGGGTCTCGAAATGCACCAGGCTCTGTTTGAGCTGCACATTCTCCAGCCTCACGGCGCTCATCTCCTTCTCCTTCTTCTCCTCCAGCTCCTGGATCTGCTCCACCTCGCGCAGCGCGGCCTGGCGCCCGCCCCTGGCCCGGCAGCTGCCCATGGCCTGCACCACCACCTGCTTCTTGAGGGCCTGGAAGGCGCGCCATTCCTTCTCCACCCTGGAGAGGTGCTCGCGGCCCGCCTGCTTCAGCTGCGCCAGCTCCTGCCGGTACCAGTCCAGGTCGTCGGCCTGCTGCTTCCGCAGCTCCTCCAGCGCCGCCAGGTGGCGCAGGTAGGCCTGCTCCTTCCCGGGCGCGTCGGGCTGCGTGCCCTTGTCGGCCCCCTCGGCCGCCTCCGGGCCCTTCTTCTTGCGCAGCGCCTCGGAGATCTTGTGCTGCAGGTAAGAGTTGTAGCGCTGAGAGCGGCCGCGCTCCCCCACCAGCGCCCGGTACTGTCGCAGCAGCTCCGCGCGCAGCTGCTGCTCCTGCCGCCTCTGCACCTCCTCGGTCCATTCGCCGCCCCCGTCGTCGTCGTCCGCGCTCGCCGCCCGCTCCCGCAGCTGTGCCGCGCCCCTCCCCTCCAGTCCCTCGCTCTCCGCCTCCTCCCCCTCCTCCTCCTCCTCCTCGCCCGGCTCCTCCCCCTCCCGCGCAGCCTCCGGAGCCGACGCGGCCTCTTCCCACTGTCTGCCCTCCTCGTCGTCCCCTTCCCCGTCCCCCTCGTCCGCCTCGGACTCCGCCGGCTCCTCCGGTTCCGCGGGCCCGCCTTCGGGCCCCGACTGGGCCATCTCCTCAGGCCGGGCCTCCGCCGGCCCCCCGGGCTCGGGTTCGGGCTCGGGCTCGGCCGGCCTCTCGGGCTCGCCGGGCTCCGCCTCGCCCCCAAGCTCGGCGGCCGCCGGCCCTTCCCGGGGCTCGGCGGGCTCGGCGGGCTCATCCTCGGCGACGCCTCCTGCCGAAGCATCTAGGGGCCCCGGCCCCGGCTGCGGCCGCGGCCGCGGCTCCGGCGGTTCGGCCGCCACATCTCCGTCTTCCCCCGCGGGGTCCCCAGGGTGCTCGGAGTGGCCGTCCATCTCCCTCCAGCTGCGCGGGCACCGCAGATCCCGGACGCCGGCTGTTGGGTTTCCAGGGGCAACCAGGGGCGCGCGCGGTGGGCCCGGCGATTGGCCAAGAGTATGGCAGACGCCCGGCCCCCTTCTCCCCGCCTCCGGAGAGAGCGGACCAATGGGAGGCCGCGGGCGGACGACGGGAGGCATTCATTGGAAGGGGGTTCAGGCTCGCGCCGCGCGGCCTTCCCGCCCATTTCCCGGCGCCCGGCCTGGGGCGGGGCGGCCTGGAGGCACCACAGGGAGCCGGCGGCCGGCGCGAGGGGCGCGCAGGCGCAGCGCGGTGTGCCGAGTCCCCGCCAGGTGGCGCGCGCGGGGCGCCTGCGCGGTGCAGCCGGCGGCGGCGGCGGCGGCGGCGGCGGCAGCGGCGGCGGCGGCGGCGGCCGGGCCGGGCCCGAGGGCGCCTGCGTGCTGAGGCGGGACGCGGCCCGGCGGGCCGGCTGCGGCGGCGCCTGGGCGGGGCGGCGCGGTGGCGGCGGGCGCGGGCGGCGGTTGCTCGAGCGCGGCGGCGGGCGCTGGCGGCGGCGCGCTGACGGCGGCGGGCGCGGGCGGCGGGCGGGGGAAGATGGCGGAGCTCGGTAAGAAGTACTGCGTGTACTGCCTGGCCGAGGTGAGCCCGCTGCGCTTCCGCTGCACCGAGTGCCAGGACATCGAGCTGTGCCCCGAGTGCTTCTCGGCCGGCGCCGAGATCGGCCACCACCGCCGCTACCACGGCTACCAGCTGGTGGACGGCGGGCGCTTCACGCTGTGGGGGCCCGAGGCCGAGGGCGGCTGGACCAGCCGCGAGGAGCAGCTGCTGCTGGATGCCATCGAACAGTTCGGCTTCGGAAACTGGGTGAGCGGCCGGCACGACGCGCACCTGCTCGCCCCGTGCCCGCGCCGGCGGGGAGGCGGGCGCAGAGAGGTGAAGCAACCTGCCCGAGGGCACACAGCCAGGAAGTAGCAAGGTGGGGGACCGGACCGTGGCTTTGCTGACCTTAGGACGACTCCCGTAGCTGTTTGCCCAGGCCAGGCACCGTGGGCAGGACCCGCGCCTGAGCCGAGTGAGTCGCCGGGCGGGGACGGGTCGGCAGACCTGACGGAGCGGTGGGAGCGCCGACTGACCCGGGACTCGGGTCCTGCCCGGAGGGCGGTGGTGGCGGAGGCCAGACCGGCTTCGGGATGGCCCTCCGCCTTCTCCCGCGACCGGGGCACCTGCGTGGTCCGCGGCCGCGCCGGCTCTGTGCGGTTGTCAGGGCGTGCGCCCCGTGTCCCCTGGCAGGGACCTGGGTCGCCCGGGGTCCCCGCCAGGCCCGGGACGTCTTAGGATGGGTGCTGGGTGAGCGCCGAACAAAGGAGCGTGCGGGGGGTGGGGGGGCTTGTGTGGAGGCCCAGCTGAGAGGGGAAGGCGAGAGTCCCGGAGGCTGGCGGGGAGGTGGCGTGCCAGGCCCCTGGGGGGGGAGATGCAGTTTTCTTCCCGGGACAGTCTCTGAGGGTCTCTCTTTCTCCTTGGGCCGCGAAGCTTTCATCCCCGTCCGCCCGCAGGCCTCATGAGAAGTAGGGAGAGGAGACACCACCCCAGCTCCTTAATCTTTCCAGACCCTTCCACGCGAGGCCCCCCCCTTACTTCCCCGACCAATATTTCACCTTGCTGCTGCTGCCCTCGTGGGCTCGCTGTGGAAGACCTTCCAGGCTTTTCTCTCAGCCCCAGACCCGGCCTGCTTTCCTTTCCATCAAGCGAGCCGGCCTCCAGGGCCTGGTGCCCGTCCTTGCTCTGCTCTCCGCTCCGTAGGACGCGGCTCCACCAAGCCCCGCCGAGGCGCCCGTGCGGAGGTCGCCAGCCTCTAAAAACCTCAGTTTGTCCTGAAATGCGTTGAGGTGCATCGAGCGAGCATCGGCTCGGAGCGCACTGCCCAGGCCCGAAGGGCCCTGCAGGAGAGCGAGGCCCCGGCTCTGGCTTTGAGCGGCCTGCGGTCGTTGGCGCCGGGAGCTCCTCCCTAAGTTCCGGCCCTCGGTGGGGAGCCGTGTCCCCACCTCACTGCTCGGGGCGCGGACGCCCTGACCCTGCGTGACCCAGACCTGCCCCCGCCTCACTCAGTTCCGCAGACCCCCAGCACCTCCGTCGTCACGTCCTTCTTCCAGGCCCAGCTCGGCGGCGGCTGTATCTCCAGCATATTTCCGGAACCTTCCCACTGCTCACAACCTTAGTTCAGGCTGGTCTTTATCTCTTGCCGTGACCGCCTCTGCGGCCTCCTCGCTGGTCCTTCTGCTTCGTCCCTGTGTCCTCAGCCCGTGCCGAGCCCCGTGACCAGGGTGACCTCTGCAGACGTGCCACCCCATCGGCGCTCCGGGGCTCCGGGTGCACCCAGAGTCCATTTCACGGCCGACACAGCCCTCAGCTGCTGCCCCTCTGATCCCTTGTGACCTCTTCCGCCTAGAGTGTCACTGGCCTTTCTGCTTCCATCTCAGAGCCTCCGACAGGCTTCCCTCCGTCCCCTCCCTGCTTCTCTCTGCAGCCGTTGCCAAAAATAGCTGAGGGGACCCAGAGCTCTGCCGAGTGCCAGGCGCGGTGCCGAGCGGTCTGTTTCTCGTGAAATCTTCCCAGGAGCCCTGGGCAGCAAGTTTTGAAACGAATGGCTGGACGGCAGAGCCCGTGCGCCCAGCGCCCTGCTCGCTAGTCCGCGCTGCCTTCCCCGCACACCGCGGGGCACGCGTGGGGACTGACGCGTCCGTGGCGTCTTGGAGGAAGTGCGGGGCTGGAGGGGACGCTCTCCAAAGCGCACAGGGAGCACCTGGGGAGTGTGTTAAAATGTGGCTTCCGAGTCCAGTGTTAGGAGAGACAAAGCTGGGGGAGGAGGGGCTGCCCCGTGCCGACGCCGTCGTGGGGTTTGGGGGGGGGGCGGGGAGGCCAGGAGTCTGCACGCTGACCAGGCCCAGGGGCTGCCCGACCGGGGGCTCTAGTATCTCTAGCTGTGCGCTCCTGGGCCACCTGCTCTACCCGCTGGACTTCACCTGCTTCCTTGTCGCGGGGTTCCCTCCCGGGCTCACCTCCGGTCGGAGCACGTAAGCGATCTGTCCCACGCGGGCCAGATGTAGCCCGTTCCAGGGGAGGCTCTGCGCTCCGGCCTTGGCACGTGCTCTTCACGGCAGCCCTGGGAGCGGGGTTTTAGTTGACAGTCAAGGGACAGTCCCTGGAGGACTTCAAATACTTGTCCGGGACACCTTGGCTTTTCTCCCTTCAGAGCCAGGGCTCACGGGCAGGCCTGCCCGATCCCGAAGTCGGGGCCTTAACCTCTCGGCCTAAGAGCATTAGGTGCTGTGGCTCGGAGGCCGGGAGCTTACTGGTGTGGCCAGCCTGGGAGGGCTTCTCAGGCAGAGTCCGGCCCTGCAGGGGGAGGTCAGTATGCGAGGGGGGGGGGGGTGCGGGCAAGGGACCAGGGGAGGGCGTGGGGCGGAGGGAGGCAGGGCACGGATCCGCGGCAGTGACGCAGAGGAGAGGAGCCTGTTCACTCTGAGTTCTCAGACGGCACGTGTGACCCCGGGGTGGCATTGCTCTGTGTGGGATTCGTGGTGGTTGGGTGACCGGGGCAGACCTGGGCGAGGCTGAAGCCAGGCGCCTTTGCTCCTGTTTGTCGGGGCCCTGAAGCGCACACCCACGGGGAGGGGGAGTGGCTGAGGGGCACTCACGCTGAGGCCGGAGGGCCTGCGGGCGGCTGTGCGCCCACGCCTTGGAGGATGGGTGGGGACATGCCTGTGAGTATGGCTGGGGGAGGGAGACAGGTGGACACTGGGCCAGAGCCCCATCGCAGGGTCGAGCCTGCAAGCAGCCGGGTTTGGGTGGGTGTCTCGTTCAGAACTGAGAGATCCGGATCCTGCCGGAAACCGCCGTGGGGGATGGCGGACGGCGGAAGAGCCGGGATTTGACCCAGGGCCCCCGACTCCATCTGGCTTGCCGAGTGCACGCAGACGTCCCTGAGCACCCCCAGATCCCTGGGTCCCCCCAGACCTCCTGAAGTGGCATCTGTGCAGGTCTGGAAACACGTGCTCATGGGGAGGCCCCGCGGAGCCTGATGCCATCTGCGCCGCCACGCCCGGGAGCCATGGAGTGTTCTCATTCTCTCTGGGGCAGGAGGCCCTTCTGCGTGTTGGTTAGAGCGGGTGGGGCGCCCCAGGAGCCTCCTGACAGTGGGGCTCTTAACTGCCATTGAGGATGGGGGGCTACATGGAGAAAGCAGCTAGGAGTAATCGTGTTATGCGGGGCAGTGATTTTCAAACTGCAGTGTAACTCAGACACCCTGGGGGTGGGGGGGCATGTTAAACCTTGTCTCCCCGCCCCCGCCCCCCCACCTTGGCTCTGGGGTTAGAATCGTAGGTCTGGGGCCAGGTATGAGAATTCGCATTTTTTTTAAAAATTTATTTATTTGTGAGAGAGACAGAGTGTTGAGCGGGAGAGGGGTAGAGAGAGAGGGAGACAGAATGGGAAGCGGCTCCAGGCTCCGAGCTGTCAGCACAGAGCCCGATGTGGGGGCTCGAACCCACGAACCACGAGATCATGACCTGAGCCGAGTCGGACACTTAAGCGACTGAGCCCCCAGGCACCCGTTTTCGCCATTTGTTAAGTGTCTGATTCAGTGAAATTAATTACGTTCACCTGGTCGGGCAGCCATCCGAACCACCCACCTCCAGAACTTTCTCCCCATCCCAGACAGAAGTAACCTGTTTACACAACGCGGCCCTGCTTGCCCCGCCCCCAGCACCGGGCGCCCCCCCTTCTGCTTTCCGTGCGCTCTTGGGACCTCCCGTAAGAGGATCCGACACCATTTGTCCTTTGGTGACTAGTGTGTTCCGCTTAGCTTAACAGTCTCGAGGTTCATTCGCCTGAGCGTGTGGCAGAGTCCTCCCCGTGTAAGGCCGAGGAATGTTCTGCTGTCCGTCCATCCGTCCGTCCAGAATGGGCGCCCGGGCTCTGCCACCCGTGGCCGCCGGGAGCCGCTGCAGCGGACGGGGTGTGCACACGTGTCGGAGGCCGCGTCTGTTCTGTGCGGAAACGCCCCGAGGGGGAGCGGCTGGTCAGCTGTCCGCTGCTGTTTGGAGGCCGCGTCGTGTGGTTCGGCACGGGGTGACGCCGTCACAGGGGGATTTGACCCGAGGGCTCTTGTCCCCTTGAGGGCCGGTCGCGGCTGTGTGAGTCGGGAGTTCTGTGGGTTGAGAGAGGAGGACGGGGACCCTGACACTGAGGCTTGGAGAACATTCCACGTAAACACGCTCAGTGGGCAGGAGCAGTGGCCAGGGAATCGGGTCCCTGGGACGGCCGGTGACCTGGAAGGACCGACGACAAGCCAGTGTTAGTCGTCGGCCTCTGACGTGGGAGGTGGCAGTGACTGCCGGTGTGTCTGCAGGGCAGGGGGGAGGGGCTGTGCAGGGTCGGCCCGGCCTCTGCGACGCCCAGGTGGCTAGGCCGGTGACCGGTCAGGCGACAGCGGGCCGGGTGGGCGCACGGCCCACGGCTCAGGAGGGACGGGCAGGCGTCCCGCTGGGCTGGGCGCGCGATTACTATACTCCTAACGGACTGAAATCTTAATACAACCTTTTTCGACGATGAGGCCGAGCGCACTTCCAGGCGGGAGAGCGGGAAGCCGGCCACGGGACCGGGTCTGTGGCTGCCGCGCAGTCGCGTCCCCGCTCTTTCCTCGGGGCCAGAGCGCTCCCTCCTTGCCCGTTAGGACGCAGACATCCCTCAGCTCTCGTTCTTCCCTGGCCCCGTGCAGGCCTCTGCTCCCTCTGCTGCTCCTGGGGTCTCTGCTTGCGGGGTGGCCCGGAGACCTGCGGGTTTGTGTGCCGGGCCTTCTGGCTGCT